TCCAGCCTTGCGGTGTTAAGGTATCGACTTGTGTTGGCTGTTAATGTGTAGTAGTAGGTCCAGTTAAATCGTTGTTGATTGGGAGTGTCGTTTGTAGAGCTTGGTGAAGTTATGCGAGTTGGTGTCGTAGATTCTAGTATCGAGTCTAGTTATGTTTAGGTATCGAAGTTTGATGTGTTGTTAATGAAGAAAAGTCTATCGAGTAGTCGAGTATATCGTAAGTTAGATTATTTCAATTTAGGACAGAACAAACTACAAAGAAAGGTAGGCGTTCTCTAGCTAAATACGTTTTAGATTTTTAGGAATCTATATTACCACTCTTAAAGTATTAATACATAATATTATATAGGCTGGAATTTATAACTTACCGTAAACTTTGTTTTTTTTCAAAATATTTTTTAAAAATTTTTAATCAATAATTATGGCAAAGTCTTAAACAGGGGTCGGCAACTTTTACCGACGGAAGAGCAAAAAAATGCAATTTACAAAATTTACCAGTTCTTAAAGAGCCACAAACGTTTTTTTTCAATATTTAGGATTAGGTGTATATATATATATATATATATATATATATATATATATATATATATAATTTAAATACATATTGCTTTAAATATGAAACAATATTTATTCATATTTTTTTTAAAATACGCATGTTTTACACAAAACATATTATAGTATTTTAGTAGCTCTGCTAGAATAATAAAATTATTAATCAAACAATTAAACTCTAATCATTAAATATTTACATTAGTTACATCAATGGGAGCACTGAGCTTTCATGCCGTTTGAAAGTTAATTTAAATCTGGCTCATAACTTCTTGTTTTAAGTTTCAAGCACACCTCTACATTTTTATTTGTTAGTTGGCTTCTTACTTTACTTTTATTATATTCATGTAAGAGAACTCTTGCTGGCTCGGATACGTTGACCTAGAGATCATCAGCAGATTTCAACTTCTCCACGTTACTGTACCATCCTGCACAACTATTCCGTGCGTCACATATGAGTGCCTCAACTCGCATTATTTCTTTTAGAGCTGTACATGTGTGCAGCGTAACGTGCATGTTTTACTGGACCTCCAAGTATTTTTACTTGCTCTTGAGTTTTATGAATTTTCCGCTCCACAAATGAGTCGTTTTCAAATCCAGCAATTGCATTAAAAGCAAACCAGCATCGATTCCAAATAGCTCAAAGTTAATCTCATTTGTTTTTGTGTTGAGAGAGTCTGCTATTGAACGTCAGAGTACTTGCATTTATTTTAAATTGCTCAAATCTCTCAATGAATCCATCCTTCGTTTTGTATGTTGTAATGCTGAAGCAATTCATGCTAATAGTTGCATTGGTTTCATGATATTTTTTTTCAGATTTTTCAAAATCAAGTTATTTACCGCTCTCCGTGTCTTCAACAACAACAAAAAAGTAATTTATTTTCGAAACATCAACTTCTCAAGCAAGGCATAGGCTTGGTTTCCTTTCCGTGCAGGTTTTTCATTTAGCTCATTTAGTTTCTTTGTGCTATCCACCATGAAGCTGAATGTTTCAACTCGGGATGAACAGTTTAATAGGAAGTACATTGAAATAGGGGGTAACTAAATATTCAAATAGAGTCGCGAGTGTTTATTGTATTTTTTATGTTGACAATTATTTAATTCATTACCGAGTGTTGCAGAACAATATTTTTATGAGTTTTGAAAATAACATAAAATAATTATTAATATTTTTGCATGGAGCCGAAGAGCCGTAACTTGACATCAAAGGAGCCGCATGCGGCTCACGAGCCGCAGGTTGCCGACCCCTGCCCTATTGGATTATTTTTAAAGGCTGTCCCTATTAAGGGGATCCAAAAATTTCTACTAAGCTTATATATACCACAACAAATAGATGGATGTTATCATTATTGAATAGAAGTATTTTATAATAAAACTAACGTATTTAGACTTTCAAACAAAACCTACAGTTAAGTAGTTAATAAGTAAAATATATTGTTTTGACACCGTTACATAACTAATATAAAAGATTTATTATAATTATTACTTAATGAAATTTAGACTGTTTTATAGTGTTTTTCAAGCATGTCTTAGTTACACTTAGATTTATTTAGCTATTCGGTTGGAAGTTATTTCCCATTAATTAAATGTTGGTATTTGGGTTTCCGAATGGGAGATAATTCGTTGCTTTACTTTACATTAATTTTAAATTCCTGCATCATAGGTTGATCGCTTACATATAAATACAACTTTAAGTTATTATTTGCTTTTGTTAAAATTATATAGAGCAGAAATTCAAAACAAAAAAGTTTTTTCAGCATTATCCAGTTGAAAAACAATATACATCAGTAGCCATTGTAGATTGCAATACTTAATGAAAGTTAATGTTAGTAGACATACAGTATGAGGTAGTGTAACAAATGTTTCTAAAATCGTCTTAGTCCCTAATTAATCATCTAATTAATTGTCTTTTTCATATTTTTCACCCTCTCCTAACGGATTCATATATAACAATTGTAGGCTGGAATCTATAACATTTATAACCTTTAATTTTTCAAAAGCAAAAAAAAATCGTAACATAATTATACAATACGAGCTGACCCGCAACATAGCATACGCCGCTATCTAGTTGTTTTATTTTCTACTTATCAACAATTCACAATATGTGAATTCGACAATTCCAATGTAAAAGTTTTTAAAAAATTATAAGAGGGAAAAGGGCCCCTATTTGCCTCTGACTCTTATGCCTTGCTTACGCTAGTTTTACGGTAGCTACGCCTCTGATTTGACTCAAAGGTCTTTTGGGAGGTACAGTAAGATGGTGGGTTTGTGTGAGGTACAGTAAGATGGTGGGTTTGTGTGAGGTACAGTAAGATGGTGGGTTTGTGTGAGGTACATTAAGATGGTGGGTTTGTGTGAGGTACAGTAAGAAGGTGGGTTTGTGTGCGGTACAGTAAGAAGGTGGGTTTGTGTGAGGTACAGTAAGATGGTGGTTTGTGTGAGGTACAGTAAGAGGGTGGGTTTGTGTGAGGTACAGTAAGATGGTGGTTTGTGTGAGGTACAGTAAGATGGTGGGTTTGTGTGAGGTACAGTAATATGGGTTATGTGAGGTACAGTAAGAGGGTGGGTTTGTGTGCGGTACAGTAAGAAGGTGGGTTTGTGTGAGGTACAGTAAGAAGGTGGGTTTGTGTGCGGTACAGTAAGAAGGTGGGTTTGTGTGAGGTACAGTAAGAAGGTGGGTTTGTGTGAGGTACAGTAAGAAGGTGGGTTTGTGTGAGGTACAGTAAGAAGGTGGGTTTGTGTGAGGTACAGTAATATGGGTTTGTGTGCGGTACAGTAAGAAGGTGGGTTTGTGTGAGGTACAGTAAGAGGGTGGGTTTGTGTGAGGTACAGTAATATGGGTTATGTGAGGTACAGTAAGAGGGTGGGTTTGTGTGAGGTACAGTAAGAGGGTGGGTTTGTGTGAGGTACAGTAAGGTGGGTTTTTGTGAGGTACAGTAAGGTGGGTTTGTGTGAGGTACAGTAAGAGGGTGGGTTTTTGTGAGGTACAGTAAGATGGGTTTGTGTGAGGTACAGTAAGATGGTGGGTTTGTGTGAGGTACAGTAAGAAGGTGGTTAGTGTGAGGTACAGTAATATGGGTTTGTGTGCGGTACAGTAAGATGGGTTTGTGTGAGGTACAGTAAGAAGGTGGGTTTGTGTGAGGTACAGTAAGGTGGGTTTTTGTGAGGTACAGTAAGATGGTGGGTTTGTTTGAGGTACGGTAAGAGGGTGGGTTTGTGTGAGGTACAGTAAGATGGGTTTGTGTGAGGTACAGTAAGATGGGTTTGTGTGAGGTACAGTAAGAGGGTGGGTTTGTGTGAGGTACAGTAAGATGGGTTTGTGTGAGGTACAGTAAGAAGGTGGGTTTGTGTGAGGTACAGTAAGATGGTGGGTTTGTTTGAGGTACGGTAAGAGGGTGGGTTTGTGTGAGGTACAGTAAGATGGGTTTGTGTGAGGTACAGTAAGATGGGTTTGTGTGAGGTACAGTAAGAGGGTGGGTTTGTGTGAGGTACAGTAAGATGGGTTTGTGTGAGGTACAGTAAGAGGGTGGGTTTGTGTGAGGTACAGTAAGATGGTGGGTTTGCTTGAGGTACGGTACGAAGATGGGTTTGTGTGAGGTACAGTAAGATGGTGGGTTTGCTTGAGGTACGGTACGAAGATGGGTTTGTGTGAGGTACAGTAAGATGGTGGGTTTGCTTGAGGTACGGTACGAAGATGGGTTTGTGTGAGGTACAGTAAGAAGGTCGGTTTGTGTGAGGTACAGTAAGGTGGGTTTGTGTGAGGTACAGTAATATGGGTTTGTGTTAGGTACAGTAAGGTGGGTTTGTGTGAGGTACAGTAAGAAGGTGGGTTTGTGTGAGGTACAGTAAGATGGGTTTGTGTGAGGTACAGTAAGGTGGGTTTGTGTGAGGTACAGTAAGGTGGGTTTGTTTGAGGTACAGTAAGAAGGTGGGTTTGTGTGAGGTACAGTAAGGTGGGTTTGTTTGAGGTACGGTACGAAGGTGGGTTTGTGTGAGGTACAGTAAGGTGGGTTTGTGTGAGGTACAGTAAGGTGGGTTTGTGTTAGGTACAGTAAGGTGGGTTTGTGTGAGGTACAGTAAGAAGGTGGGTTTGTTTGAGGTACGGTACGAAGGTGGGTTTGTGTGAGGTACAGTAAGGTGGGTTTGTGTGAGGTACAGTAAGGTGGGTTTGTGTGAGGTACAGTAAGGTGGGTTTGTGTGAGGTACAGTAAGGTGGGTTTGTGTGAGGTACATTAAGATGGTGGGTTTGTGTGAGGTACAGTAAGGTGGGTTTTTGTGAGGTACAGAAGAATGTAATGTCTGTTTGGGGAAATATGTGGGATTGTGAGAATTACAGACAGTGACAGTGGGTTTTTGTGAGGTAATGATTGTGTTTAAAACAGGCAATACGATAGAGGGTTCACAGGAACAACGACATAAATAAAACAAATTATTTGCTGTATTGTCTCAATTTTAATTAATCAAAAGTAAACAATAAATTCGCAAAAATCGTTTTCATTAGTCTGGTGTGAAATAGTTTCATTGAAATATAAACAGTTCTTTCTTTGGCCAGTACATGAACATAAATCTTGGTTTAAGTGGCCAGAACATAAACATGGCCCTTTTGTAAACTGATCAGTTTCTGGCCATGCACCATGGCTTACAGTCGACTGTACAGTGTCTAGACATAGATCTTTATTTATGTAGTCATTTTCTGAACATAGATCTTTATTTATGTAGTCATTTTCTAAACATAGATCTTTATTTATGTAGTCATTTTCTATACATAGATCTTTATTGATGTAGTCAATTTCTAAACATGGACTTTTGTTTTCGTGAATAGATTGTGCTCTACTGTCTTCTACAATTATTTTTGGCCCTTGACTAGAATTTATAATTATAACGTTTTCTTTCACAACCCTTGGTCTCCTTGACCTTGTAGGAGATGTCTGTTGACCACACATTTGAGAATCCCTGGACTTAGTAGTTATCTCTTGACAAGAAAGTTTAGAATCCGTGGACAGAGTTTGTACAGCTTGATTCAAAAGTTTAGAATCCCTGGACTTAGTAGGTACATCTTGACAAGAAATGTTAGAATCCGTGGACAGAGTTGGTACAGCTTGATTAGAAAGTTTAGAATCCGTGGACAGAGTTGGTACAGCTTGATTAGAAAGTTTAGAATCCGTGGACAGAGTTGGTACATCTTGACAAGAAAGTTTAGAATCCGTGGACAGAGTTGGTACAGCTTGATTAGAAAGTTTAGAATCCTCGGATATACTTGGTACATCTTGACCAATAATTTTAGAACTCCTGGACAACGTTGGTACATCTTGAGAGGAAAGTTTAGAATCCGTTGACAGAGTCGTTACATCTTGTGTAGCAGTGTTGATACCAGTAACCTCTGTGGACAATGATATATCAGAGTTGTGTTAAAGCATCTAGTTTTATCAAATCAAATATCTAATCAGTCTAATGGGGCTACCAATCTATCTGGGTAATGAAAAAGGTCGTTTAGTAGAAGAGTGGCTAGGACTACTGTGCAGCAAGATTTGACACTCAAGTTTATTAGAAGAAATTTTAGCAGCTAGTTGTGTCAACTTACTCATACAACCTTACGAGATAGAAGATTTTTATTTCTAAAATAAGAATGTACACATCCACACGCATATTTGTTCATTGGGTACAATTATTTTTTGATACTTTACATTTTGACTTAAAAAGTGAAATCTGATTGAAGACGCATCTTACTGCAAAAGATCGTCGGTAAATGAAATTACGTCATTATAGCAGTTTTATTCTCTCCCCCTCCCGCCTCCCCTCCCACCCAGCTTTGACTTGAAGGCCAGACAGCCACACTAAAACTGTGTCATAACGTTTCCACAAAATCATTATTTAACAAAACTAACTAGACTGTCATAATTATGGTTTTAAAGTAACGCTTTTCTTAATATTAAAAAAAAATCGTGGTGCATTATTATATATTTAAGGAAAATCATTGACTTCACCCAAATAAGACGAAATTAAAATCAAACTTCACTAACCTAATCCACACACTAAAGAGAGACAACCAGCCATAGAAGTTTGTGCAGGACATGTTTTGATGTCACCAACATTTTCATAGATTATGTTTTCTGATTCAACACCACTGTGGGTTTTATGGCCTCTGCTGCTCATCGTGTTGACAAAGTTCCTGTACTCAGCAGACTGATTTGTTTCATCTTTACTGCCAACATGACACACACCAGTGAGATACGGGTCTGCTTTGTTTCTACTGTGACCAGGCCACTCAGGCATACAGTTGTCATGGTAACAACTTGTCTTGTTAACAAGATTTTGGTCTTTATCGTTACGTATTAAAACACCGTCAGACATGTCTGAAAAACAAAGTTAGCAAAAAGTCATGAATTTGTTTAATCTACACGCAAACAATAAAAATAAAATCTGTTTCAAGCACCAATTTCTCTATCTTGTATAAAGTAATTGCTCACGCATGCACTGCTCCAGAAAAAGGAAGCAGAGTCGTGCATGTATTTGGATGTATGTTAGGCTTGTGCTGCCCCCCCCCCCCACCACCTGGTTAGGATTAGAGGGTCAGTTCAGACTGTCTGCCTCCCCCCCTCCCCCACCACCTGGTTAGGATTAGACGGACAGCTCAGACTGTCTTCCCCCCCCCCACCACCTGGTTAGGATTAGATGGTCAGCTCAGACTGTCTTCCCCCCCCCCCCACCACCTGGTTAGGATTAGATGGTCAGCTCAGACTGTCTGCCTCCCCCCCCCCACCTCCTGGTTAGGATTAGACGGACAGCTCAGACTGTCTTCCCCCCCCCACCACCTGGTTAGATTAGACGGACAGCTCAAACTGTCTTCCCCCCCCCCCTCCACCACCTGGTTAGGATTAGAGGGTCAGCTCAGACTGTCTGCCCCCCCCCCCACCACCTGGTTAGGATTAGACGGACAGCTCAGACTGTCTTCCCCCCCCCCCCCACCACCTGGTTAGATTAGACGGACAGCTCAGACTGTCTCCCCCCCCCCACCACCTGGTTAGGATTAGACGGACAGCTCAGACTGTCTGCCCCCCCCCCCCCCCCCCCACCACCTGGTTAGGATTAGACGGACAGCTCAGACTGTCTTCCCCCCCCCCCCCCACCACCTGGTTAGATTAGAGGGTCAGCTCAGACTGTCTGCCCCCCCCCCCCACCACCTGGTTAGATTAGACGGACAGCTCAAACTGTCTTCCCCCCCCCCTCCACCACCTGGTTAGGATTAGATGGTCAGCTCAGACTGTCGGCCCCCCCTCCCCCCACCACCTGGTTAGGATTAGATGGTCAGCTCAGACTGTCTGCCCCCCCCCCCCCACCACCTGGTTAGGATTAGAGGGTCAGCTCAAACTGTCTTCCCCCCCCCCTCCACCACCTGGTTAGGATTAGATGGTCAGCTCAGACTGTCTGCCCCCCCCCCCCCACCACCTGGTTAGGATTAGATGGTCAGCTCAGACTGTCGGCCCCCCCCCTCCACCACCTGGTTAGGATTAGATGGTCAGCTCATACTGTCGCCCCCCCCCCTCCACCACCTGGTTAGGATTAGATGGTCAGCTCAGACTGTCTGCCCCCCCCCCTCCACCACCTGGTTAGATTAGAGGGTCAGCTCAGACTGTCTGCCCCCCCCCCCCCCCTCTCTCCCTCCACCACCTGGTTAGGATTAGAGGGTCAGCTCAGTTTGTCTAAACCAGAGCTCTGACCTCCTGACTTTACTTAGCAAGCAATCATTCTACCATTAGAGCACACGGTACTAGCATCTACATTTTTTATAGTCATTGACTGGATAAGTTGGTCATCTTTACTTGTAGGGAAAGTTTGTGTTGAATTAGGTTAGTGCTTCATGTATAAACAAACAATTTCTAGAAGTTTAAATCAGAAAAAAAAAATTACTTAGTGTTAGAGGGCATTCAGCTGTTTCTTTTCCCAGAAGTTTTGCAGATGTTCCTTCTTCCAGGACGTGTGTGGGGGTTCTGTCTTCCAGTATATGTGTGGGGGTTCTGCTGTCAAGCATGTGTGTGGGGGTTCTGCTGTCAAGCATGTGTGTGGGGGTTCTCCCCTCCCCCACCACAACAACTTTGCTCCCTACCGGCGTCCACACAACCTCAACGTGTTCCTTCACTCTCTGTTTTCTACGACGCTCTGATTTGATTGGACGTTTGTGACCTTGACATGTCTCTTCGGCTAAAGTTTAAAAATAAAATTAGTTATTACGACTAGAAAAACACATGAATACTGAGTTAGTCCTAAATTACATTCGATTTTAAGCAATTTGACTTAATTTATAGTTAATACGTTGAATTACAGTACAGCTTTAAAAAGTAAGTTGTTTTTTAAATAGCAAAACTCCGTAACAACAGCTTTATTTAATTATTAAATCTCATCAGGATTTACAATTTTTTTTAAATTTTCGTGTTAGGAATTCTAAATTTTCTAATGTTTTATTGTTGAAAATTTCAAAAGTTTGTTGTCGGGAATGCTAAATAAAATTGTTTAGTCAGGGATTCTTAAATTAATAATAAAAGAAAATGATTCAGTGCTTTTACCATTTGGTTTCAATGTTTCGGATTGCATGACCAACACTGACGTGTGACCTACATTCTTCATTATCTCTTGTTTAGCTTCTTTTGTCATCTTGTCTGTTTCGGTTTGTTCCACCAATTCCTGGTAACTAGACATCCCACCGGAAGTGAGATAGGAAAAATAGCCATCATCTGTGAAATAACGATGTAAACCTATGTTTAAACAATCACATTTAAATATGTCAAACAGAAGATGAGCAACCCATAAATGTATGACATTCATGAAAACAAACAATGTAAAATGTCAACAAGTTAACTCCGGTGAATACAACGGACAATAAAATTGTGTACATAAAAGTAGGCTACATGTACAGAGTGTACTCATTATTAACTACAGGGACACAACCCCCACCCCCACAAAAAATAAAATAATATGTCGTTTCTGAATGTAAAAAAAAATAAAATAAATACATACTTTTATAACAAGCACTTTTTAGTAGAACCTAACTAAATCAATTTACTTAAATAATCAGGCCTATCAAGGGGGGGGGGGGGCAATGACAAGTTCTAGAGGAGTCACATAAAGTTCAGAAAAAGTGCATTATAACATGTACCTGTGTAGACCCCGACAGCGGATTAACCTAATCTAAATCCAGAGACTATAAACTATCGGGTGTCAGCTTTGCATAACAATCTAACGTAATAGCTGACACTAATACGATTATTTTATAAACACGAGTGCAGGACACGACCCCATGCCAGTTACTGCCCTTTCTTCATTTAATCACTGTAATTACACTTTCTTATCATGTAGAAAATGTATAAAATCATAAAATGTTTTAAATGTAGGAGGACTGCTATGGATAAAGTTGTTTGAAAGGAAAGAATATTTTATATGAGGTGCCTCATTTTCCTATAGGTATCATCCATGGTGCTTATAATAAGATTTTCCTTTGCACCCAAATTTATTTCAGCTCTAGTTAGAAGCCCATACTACCCCAACCACCTCAACCCACCCCACCAAAAAATGTCCTATTTAAAAAAAAATATTTTAGGTACGATTTTTAGATTTCCTCATACCCCTCCCAACTCCACAGTGTAGAAAAACACCATTTAATTAAATATTTAAATTTTCAGGGTTAAGATAAATTGAAATTATACGTTTTGTATCATGTATACCTAAACCATCTTCGAAGAATGTCAGACAGAAGTATTACTACTGTAAATGTGTATCAGTCCTCTTAAGCCGATGATGTAAACTCGAATACTAAAGCACACATGGCAAGTGGTGCTGATGCTGTTAAGTTATACGTCTGAGGCAGTAGGCAGTATACATATGTGGGACCATATGATTATGTGGGACATATGATTATGTGGGACCGTATGATTATGTGGGACCGTATGATTATGTGGGACAGTATAATTATGTGCGGCCATATGATTATGTGGGACCGTATGATTATGTGGGACCGTATGTTTATGTGGCACAATATGATTATGTGGGACCGTATGATTATGTGGGACCGTATGATTATGTGGGACCGTATGATTATGTGGGACCCTATGATTATGTGGGACCGTATGGTTATGTGGGACCGTATGGTTATGTGGGACCGTATGATTATGTGGGACCGTATGATTATGTGGGACCGTATGATTATGTGGGACCGTATGATTATGTGGGACCGTATGATTATGTGGGACCGTATGATTATGTGGGACCGTATGATTATGTGGGACCGTGTCATTATGTGGGACCGTATGATTATGTGAGACTGTATGATTATGTAGGACTGTATGATTATGTGGGACCGTATGATTATGTGGGACCTTATGTTTATGTGACACAATATGATTATGTGGGACCGTATGATTATGTGGGACCGTATGATTATGTGGGACCGTATGTTTATGTGGCACAATATGATTATGTGGGACCGTATGATTATGTGGGACCGTATGGTTATGTGGGACCATATGGTTATGTGGGACCGTATGATTATGTGGGACCGTATGGTTATGTGGGACCATATGGTTATGTGGGACCGTATGATTATGTGGGACGTATGATTATGTGGGACCGTATGATTATGTGGGACCGTGTGATTATGTGGGACCGTATGTTTATGTGGGACGGTATGTTTATGTGGCACAATATGATTATGTGGGACCGTATGGGTATGTGGGACTGTGTCATTAGGTGGGGCCGTATCATTAACACTAGATGACACAACAATCTCTACTCACCGTGAAGTCCTGGCCCTATGTCCTGCCGTTCACCAACACACACATCAAAGGTATTGCTGTACACTGGAGATTTAAAACACCCGTCATTACATTTTATAACACATTATATTTAATAACACATATTGTCATTACATTTACAACACACATATCATTATATAAAAACACCTTTTTTAAAAGACAATTAGCATTACATTATACAATACACACTCACATCAATACATTTAAAACAGATTGTAAGTTTACACACACTTTGGAGGGTCAACATTATTTGTTACTTTTGTCATGATCACAGATAGGTAGAGGGCGGGGGATGTGACCCCCTGGACGAGATAGAAGAAATACCGGAAGTTTCTCATGAGTACACCCTTAAGTTTCAAGACCCCTCCCCCCTCCTCCCCCACACACACACCTCTAACATCCTGAGAAAAATATCTGAAAGAAACCTTTAAATAATGCGATGCATTTTCATGCAATGCATTGGAAATCTTGATTATTATTTTTTCCTAGCTTTGTTTAGGCTTTCTTCAAACCTACAGCAATCAATCAACGATCTTTGATTTGTAAAGTATAAAATAAGAAAAAATCTTTTAATTTTTGGCAGGTGCTACTAGTCTTGTAATTTCATTACCTAAAATTGGACTAACAGAAGTCGTATTATGTGTTGACACATTTAATATTTGTACGATTGTTTTCTTGTCTATGTATCCAAACATTTTTATGTTCACACAAGTCAGATTTAAAATCCCAGGTTACCAGGTTCCAACCCCCTGGCAGATAAGGCTCGATAGTTGGGGACTTCTCCAAAATCAAACAACTGCTGCCTTGTAGTTTGTTCCTGGATGGACAAAGACTATGGAAGCAAATCCAAAGAAAAGCAGGCTGACATCGGAACCAACGGCTTAAATGGCGCAATAATAAGTTGACATGTAACACTAAATTGTGTTGGACTAAATCCCGCCCAATGTACAATTAAGAACGAAGAAGAAGAAGAAAATCTTTACTCTGCTGAAATCGTGCTCAACCCTTATTTTAAAAAGTTGTTGGAAGGCGTGTCCGTAGCGGGTTTTATTTGTTGTTACACAATTGATGTCAATACGTATATACAGACACCGTCAACTTTCTCTACCCCGACTAAGTATTTATAGACCTACCATAAAATTAGTTTCGTAAAGTCTATTGAAATCTCAACAATGAGGATGTGATGTTTTAGTATTTTTATTAAAACCCTTTTGGCGCCCCCTAAAGTCGGCGTTTGGAGCGTTCGTACAATCTCCTCCACTTGTTAAACTTCTGCTAGATTTAGATGATGATAGATCTATTTTACATCATAGATCTAGATGATGATAGATCTAATCTACAAGATAGATCTAGATGATAATAGATCTATTCTACAACATAGATCTAGATGATAATAGATCTATTCTACATCATAGATCTAGATGATGAGAGATCTATTCTACATCATAGATCTAGATGATGATAGATCTATTCTACATCATAGATCTAGATGATAATAGATCTATTCTACATCATAGATCTAGATGATGAGAGATCTATTCTACATCATAGATCTAGATGATGATAGATCTATTCTACAACATAGACCTAGATGATCATAGATCTATACTACATCCTAGATCTAGATGATAGATCTATTCTACATCATAGATCTAGATGATGATAGATCTATTCTACATCATAGATCTAGATGATAGATCTATTCTACATTATAGATCTAGATGATAGATCTATTCTACATCCTAGATCTAGATGATAGATCTATTGTACATCATAGATCTAGATGATGATAGATCTATTCTACAACATAGATCTAGATGATGATAGATCTATTCTACATCACAGATCTAGATGATAGATCTATTCTACATTATAGATCTAGATGATAGATCTATTCTACATCATAGATCTAGATGATAATAGATCTATTCTACATCAAAGATCTAGATGATAATAGATCTATTCTATATCATAGATCTAGATGATGATAGATCTATTCTACAACATAGATCTAGATGATAATAGATCTATTCTACAACATAGATCTAGATGAAAATAGATCTATTCTACAACATAGATCTAGATGATAATAGATCTATATTACATCCTAAATCTAGATGATAGATCTATTCTACATCATAGATCTAGATGATGATAGATCTATTCTACATCATAGATCTAGATGATAGATCTATTCTACATTATAGATTTAGATGATAGATCTATTCTACATCATAGATCTAGATGATAATAGATCTATTCTACATCATAGATCTAGATGATAATAGATCTATTCTACATCATAGATCTAGATGATAATAGATCTATTCTACATCATAGATCTAGATGATGATAGATCTATTCTACAACATAGATCTAGATGATGATAGATCTATTCTACATCATAGATCTAGATGATAATAGATCTATTCTACATCATAGATCTAGATGATGAGAGATCTATTCTACAACATAGATCTAGATGATGATAGATATATTCTACAACATAGATCTAGATGATAATAGATCTATTCTACATCATAGATCTAGATGATGAGAGATCTATTCTACATCATAGATCTAGATGATGATAGATCTATTCTACAACATAGATCTAGATGATCATAGATGTATACTACATCCTAGATCTAGATGATAGATCTATTCTACATCATAGATCTAGATGATGATAGATCTATTCTACATCATAGATCTAGATGATAGATCTATTCTACATTATAGATCTAGATGATAGATCTATTCTACATCCTAGATCTAGATGATAGATCTATTGTACATCATAGATCTAGATGATGATAGATCTATTCTACAACATAGATCTAGATGATGATAGATCTATTCTACATCACAGATCTAGATGATAGATCTATTCTACATTATAGATCTAGATGATAGATCTATTCTACATCATAGATCTAGATGATAATAGATCTATTCTACATCAAAGATCTAGATGATAATAGATCTATTCTATATCATAGATCTAGATGATGATAGATCTATTCTACAACATAGATCTAGATGATAATAGATCTATTCTACAACATAGATCTAGATGAAAATAGATCTATTCTACAACATAGATCTAGATGATAATAGATCTATATTACATCCTAAATCTAGATGATAGATCTATTCTACATCATAGATCTAGATGATGATAGATCTATTCTACATCATAGATCTAGATGATAGATCTATTCTACATTATAGATTTAGATGATAGATCTATTCTACATCATAGATCTAGATGATAATAGATCTATTCTACATCATAGATCTAGATGATAATAGATCTATTCTACATCATAGATCTAGATGATAATAGATCTATTCTACATCATAGATCTAGATGATGATAGATCTATTCTACAACATAGATCTAGATGATGATAGATCTATTCTACATCATAGATCTAGATGATAATAGATCTATTCTACATCATAGATCTAGATGATGAGAGATCTATTCTACAACATAGATCTAGATGATGATAGATATATTCTACAACATAGATCTAGATGATAATAGATCTATTCTACATCATAGATCTAGATGATGAGAGATCTATTCTACATCATAGATCTAGATGATGATAGATCTATTCTACAACATAGATCTAGATGATCATAGATGTATACTACATCCTAGATCTAGATGATAGATCTATTCTACATCATAGATCTAGATGATGATAGATCTATTCTACATCATAGATCTAGATGATAGATCTATTCTACATTATAGATCTAGATGATAGATCTATTCTACATCCTAGATCTAGATGATAGATCTATTGTACATCATAGATCTAGATGATGATAGATCTATTCTACAACATAGATCTAGATGATGATAGATCTATTCTACATCACAGATCTAGATGATAGATCTATTCTACATTATAGATCTAGATGATAGATCTATTCTACATCATAGATCTAGATGATAATAGATCTATTCTACATCAAAGATCTAGATGATAATAGATCTATTCTATATCATAGATCTAGATGATGATATATCTATTCTACAACATAGATCTAGATGATAATAGATCTATTCTACAACAGATCTAGATGAAAATAGATCTATTCTACAACATAGATCTAGATGATAATAGATCTATACTACATCCTAGATCTAGATGATAGATCTATTCTACATCATAGATCTAGATGATGATAGATCTATTCTACATCATAGATCTAGATGATAGATCTATTCTACATTATAGATTTAGATGATAGATCTATTCTACATCATAGATCTAGATGATAATAGATCTATTCTACATCATAGATCTAGATGATAATAGATCTATTCTACATCATAGATCTAGATGATAATAGATCTATTCTACATCATAGATCTAGATGATGATAGATCTATTCTACAACATAGATCTAGATGATGATAGATCTATTCTACATCATAGATCTAGATGATAGATCTATTCTACATCCTAGATCTAGATGATAGATCTATTGTACATCATAGATCTAGATGATGATAGATCTATTCTACATCATAGATCTAGATGATGATAGATCTATTCTACAACATAGATGATGATAGATCTATTCTACATCTTAGATCTAGATGATGATAGATCTATTCTACAACATAGATGATGATAGATCTATTCTACATCATTGATCTAGATGATGATAGATTTATTCTAAATCTTAGATCTAGATGCATATAGATCTATTTTCTTTGCTAGATCTATCTCCTCAGAAGGCAATATTTATTTAACGATTAAGGTTTAACAAAAGGAACTCGATGATTAATAGAACTGCTATGTATGTAGTGATGAGTGTATTTTTTGACAGGAAACATGACAAAGTAATGACTAACGGCTGACTAAATGATAGAATATCAAATATATAGTTGATCTTATCTAATAAATATCTATAACACTAATATAAAAAGTACAAAACGGTAAACGGGAAACTAATCTGATCACTTACTTGTTTACACAGCTAATGTACTCAAACACACGATAACATGGGACATTTTAGGAAAACATAATTCACAGTTTCTTCCACGTTTACCACGAAATGTTAATTGGCTAATTAAGCTCAACACCGGGATTAGTGTCTGTGTGCACTTAAGGGTCAAGGTCGTCTTGATGTTAAGGGAAACATTCACTTAAAGGCAAGTGATGTGACGTTTGACTTGAATAAATGGGGCGCAGTGGTTTACCGTTCAAAGCGAATTCATTACTAGACTGCGGTACAGAGCTATGTTGAACTAGTAGGCTTATTTTAACGTTGAATTTTTTTTATCCCACCAGTTTCTCTTTGAAAAATAACAGTATCGTTTCTCCCGAGGTTGGCTAATATCTAGGGATAATTAGGGGGCTTTTATTTCACTTCCAACTTACACCAGCGACTTTTCTTTTATTTATTTGGGCTACACTACCTTGACAATATATATATATATATATATATATATATATATATATATATATATATATATATATATATATATATATATATATATATATATATGTATATGGATATATGGAATTCCCTCACCCAATTCCCCACACTCGTAACTTGAATCTACCTACGTCACTTCAACTATCTAATACCTGTCTACACTACCATATCAACTACCAGATACTCACCATTTGACCTTGACCTGTTGTTGAGCTGCTCCTCCACCAAAACGTCTGTGCTGCTCCTGCAACTCTGAATGACGTCATCGCCGTTATGGTCACGTGACCCGTGAGTAAAATTAGTCGTTAGGTCAGCACCAGATGAATAGATTGGTTGGTTGATGCTTGGTATAAGGTAGTCATCGTCTGTTGGGATTTGGGCTAAAATACACAATTTTAAAACACATGACGACATTTCATTGACCCGTTAAACATGATTTTAAAGTAGTTGAGAGTTTGACGTCCCCGAGTTCATCCAGCTGTAACGGGTACCTGACTCGAATTGGAGAAAATAACGACAGCTGGGCAACGCTCACAAAAAAATCCCCACAGAACTACTCTTGTACAATGCCTCACTAGAACAAGCTAGCCCTATGGAGTGGCACCCACATTTCACTCTTTTACTGAGCAACAATTGATGTCTTACACTCACTGTTGGCACTAGTTCACGCCCCTTAACCTAACCTGGTTGATGTGTCGCTTCCCTTTAAATATAGGAATTCTTTTGTGTAAAACTACAGATAACATTTCTACATTTTGTGACTAAGATATCGCTTGTTTTTCTTAGAACGTGATGTATCACAACATAATAAATGACAGGTACCAGAATGGTGGATATAATGTGACACAGGTACCAACATTTCACCCAAAGTGACAGATCCTAATGTGCCACACTTGTCTGTTTATAAAAAATTCTTATAAACCGTCCCCACTTGATCAAAAAATCTATAGCAAAAAGAACGTTTCTGACTGTATGCCTATATTGTCTACACATGTTATCAGAAGTGAATCTATTTCCAGCTTACTAGTCACAACACATTGATGCATTCTGGGTAGGAGCTTTAACTTAGTTGTTACAATGATCGAGTAACCACAGCTATAGACACTTCTATCACATTTATTATAAATAGAATCATCATAGCTAAACAGTAGATTCACAGCTATATAGAAGTTTCACTGCTTTATAGCCATATCACAGCTATATGAAACCCTCAGATACCTGTCTAAACTACCATATCAACTACCAGATACCAGTCTACACTACACTATCAACTACCAGATACCTGTCTACACTACCATATCAACTACCAGATACCAGTCTACACTACACTATCAACTACCAGATACCTGTCTACACTACCATATCAACTACCAGATACCAGTCTACACTACACTATCAACTACCAGATACCTGTCTACACTACCATATCAACTACCAGATACCAGTCTACACTACACTATCAACTACCAGATACCTGTCTACACTACCATATCAACTACCAGATACCAGTCTACACTACACTATCAACTACCAGATACCTGTCTACACTACCATATCAACTACCAGATACCAGTCTACACTACACTATCAACTACCAGATACCTGTCTACACTACCCTATCAACTACCAGATACCAGTCTACACTACACTATCAACTACCAGATACCTGTCTACACTACCATATCAACTACCAGATACCAGTCTACACTACACTATCAACAACCAGATACCTGTCTACACTACCATATCAACTACCAGATACCAGTCTACACTACACTATCAACTACCAGATACCTGTCTACACTACCCTATCAACTACCAGATACCTGTCTACACTACCATATCAACTACCAGATACCAGTCTACACTACCCTATCAACTACCAGATATCTGTCTACACTACCATATCAACTACCAGATACCTGTCTACACTACCATATCAACTACCAGATACCCGTCTACACTACCATATCAACTACCAGATACCTGTCTACACTACCATATCAACTACCAGATACCTGTCTACACTACCATATCAACTACCAGATACCTGTCTACACTACCATATTGACTACCAGATACCTGTCTACACTACCATGTTAACTACCAGATACCTGTCTACACTACCATGTAAACTACCAGATACCTGTCTACACTACCATGTTAACTACCAGATACCTGTCTACACTACCATATCATCTACCAGATACCTGTCTACACTACCCTATCAACTACCAGATACCCGTCTACACTACCATATCAACTACCAGATACCTGTCTACACTACCATATTGACTACCAGATACCTGTCTACACTACCATATCAACTACCAGATACCTGTCTACACTACCATATAAACTACCAGTTACCTGTCTACACTACCATATTGACTACCAGGTACCTGTCTACACTACCATGTTCACTACCAGATACCTGTCTACACTACCATATCAACTACCAGATACCTGTCTACACTACCATATCAACTACCATATACCTGTCTACACTACCATATCAACTACCAGATACCTGTCTACACTACCATATTGACTACCATATACCTGTCTACACTACCATGTTAACTAACAGATACTCACTATTTGACCTTGACCTGTTAAGCTGCTCCTCACGTGAAAGTTCCCCGAACAAATCGCCTGTACTGGTCCTGCAACTCTGAATGACGTCATCGCCGTTATGGTCACGTGACTCGTGAGTTAAGTTTGTCGTTAGGTCAGCACCAGATGAATAGATTGGTTGGTATATGCTTGGTATAAGGTAGTCATCGTCTGTTGGGGTTTGGGCTAAAATACACAATTTTAAAGTCATCGTCTGTTGGGGTTTGGGCTAAAATACACAATTTTAAAACACATGACGACATTTTATTGACCCGTTATACACAATTTTAAAACACATGACGACATTTTATTGACCCGTTATACACAATTTTAAAACACATTATGACATTTTATTGACCCGTTATACACAATTTTAAAACACATGACGACATTTTATTTAGCCGTTATACATGAGTTAAAAATGGTTGAGTGTTTGACGTCCCCGAGTTCATCCAGCTATAACGGGTACCTGACTCGAATTGGAGAAAATAACGACAGCTGGGCAACGCTCACAAAATCCCCAGAGAACTACTCTTGTACAATGCCTCACTAGACCAGGTTAGCCAATGGAGTGGCACCCTCATGTCACTCTTTTACTGAGCGACAATTGATGTCTTACATTTACTGCTGGCACTAGTACACACCCCTTAACCTAACCTGTTTGATGTATTACTTCCCTTTTAAATATAAGAATTCTTTTGTGTAAAACTAGATAACATTTCTACATTTTGTGACTAAGATATCTCTTGTTTGTCTTAGAACGTGATGTATCAAAACATAATAAATGACAAATTTAACTCATAAAAAAAATCAAAGCTCCCAGCAACATCTACAGAAGTGGGTCAAGGTCTTTTAACTTAATGTTAGAGTGGCAGATATAATGTGACACAGGCACCAACATTTCACTCAAAGTGACAGATCTTAAAGTCACACACTTGTCAGTTTATACTAACCATTAAACAAATTCTTAAAAACAGTCACCAATTGATAACAAAATCTATAGCAAAAAGATCGTTCCTGAATGTAGGCCTATATTGTGTACAACTGGTACCAGACGTGAATCTATTTCCTGCTTACCTGAGCTAGTCACGACACATTGATGCATTCTGGGTAGGAGCTTTAACTCAGTTGTTACAACGATCGAGTAACCACAGCTATAGATATTGTTATCACATCCATCATATATAGTGTCGTCACGGCTAAATAATAGCCACACAGCTAGATAGTAATTTCATAGCTCTATAGCAATAGCACAGCTGCTTGGATACCTGTCTACACTACCATATTAACTACCAGATATCTGTCTACACTGCCATATGAACTCTCAGATACCTGTCAATACTACCATTTCAACTACCAGATACCTGTCTACACTACCATATTAACTAACTACCAGATATCTGTCTACACTACCATATTAACTACCATATACCTGTCTACACTACCATATCAACTACCAGATACATGTCTACACTACCATATCAACTACCAGATACCTGTCTACACTACCCTATCAACTACCAGATACCCGTCTACACTACCATATCAACTACCAGATACCTGTCTACACTACCATATTGACTACCAGATACCTGTCTACACTACCATATCAACTACCAGATACCTGTCTACACTACCATATAAACTACCAGATACCTGTCTACACTACCCTATCAACTACCACATACCTGTCTACACTACCCTATCAACTACCAGATACCCGTCTACACTACCATATCAACTACCAGATACCTGTCTACACTACCATATTGACTACCAGATACCTGTCTACACTACCATATCAACTACCAGATACCTGTCTACACTACCATATAAACTACCAGTTACCTGTCTACACTACCATATTGACTACCAGGTACCTGTCTACACTACCATGTTCACTACCAGATACCTGTCTACACTACCATATCAACTACCAGATACCTGTCTACACTACCATATCAACTACCATATACCTGTCTACACTACCATATCAACTACCAGATACCTGTCTACACTACCATATTGACTACCATATACCTGTCTACACTACCATGTTAACTAACAGATACTCACTATTTGACCTTGACCTGTTAAGCTGCTCCTCACGTGAAAGCTCCCCGAACAAATCGCCTGTACTGGTCCTGCAACTCTGAATGACGTCATCGCCGTTATGGTCACGTGACTCGTGAGTTAAGTTTGTCGTTAGGTCAGCACCAGATGAATAGATTGGTTGGTATATGCTTGGTATAAGGTAGTCATCGTCTGTTGGGGTTTGGGCTAAAATACACAATTTTAAAACACATGACGACATTTTATTGACCCGTTATACACAATTTTAAAACACATGACGACATTTTATTGACCCGTTATACACAATTTTAAAACACATTATGACATTTTATTGACCCGTTATACACAATTTTAAAACACATGACGACATTTTATTTAGCCGTTATACATGAGTTAAAAATGGTTGAGTGTTTGACGTCCCCGAGTTCATCCAGCTATAACGGGTACCTGACTCGAATTGGAGAAAATAACGACAGCTGGGCAACGCTCACAAAATCCCCAGAGAACTACTCTTGTACAATGCCTCACTAGACCAGGTTAGCCAATGGAGTGGCACCCTCATGTCACTCTTTTACTGAGCGACAATTGATGTCTTACATTTACTGCTGGCACTAGTACACACCCCTTAACCTAACCTGTTTGATGTATTACTTCCCTTTTAAATATAAGAATTCTTTTGTGTAAAACTAGATAACATTTCTACATTTTGTGACTAAGATATCTCTTGTTTGTCTTAGAACGTGATGTATCAAAACATAATAAATGACAAATTTAACTCATTAAAAAAATCAAAGCTCCCAGCAACATCTACAGAAGTGAATCAAGGTCTTTTAACTTAATGTTAGAGTGGCAGATATAATGTGACACAGGCACCAACATTTCACTCAAAGTGACAGATCTTAAAGTCACACACTTGTCAGTTTATACTAACCATTAAACAAATTCTTAAAAACAGTCACCAATTGATAACAAAATCTATAGCAAAAAGATCGTTCCTGAATGTAGGCCTATATTGTGTACAACTGGTACCAGACGTGAATCTATTTCCTGCTTACCTGAGCTAGTCACGACACATTGATGCATTCTGGGTAGGAGCTTTAACTCAGTTGTTACAACGATCGAGTAACCACAGCTATAGATATTGTTATCACATCCATCATATATAGTGTCGTCACAGCTAAATAATAGCCACACAGCTAGATAGTAATTTCATAGCTCTATAGCAATAGCACAGCTGCTTGGATACCTGTCTACACTACCATATTAACTACCAGATATCTGTCTACACTGCCATATGAACTCTCAGATACCTGTCAATACTACCATTTCAACTACCAGATACCTGTCTACACTACCATATTAACTAACTACCAGATATCTGTCTACACTACCATATTAACTACCATATACCTGTCTACACTACAATATCAACTACCAGATACCTGTCTACACTACAATATCAACTACCAGATACCTGTCTACACTACCATACCAACTCTCAGATACCTGTCCACACTACCCTATCAACTACCAGATACATGTCTACACTACCATATCAACTACCAGATACCTGTCTACACTACAATATCAACTACCAGATACCTGTCTACACTACCATATCAACTACCAGATACCTGTCTACACTACCATATCAACTACCAGATACCTGTCTACACTACCATATCAACTACCAGATACCTGTCTACACTACCATATCAACTACCAGATACCTGTCTACACTACCATATCAACTACCAGATACCTGTCTACACTACCATATCAACTACCAGATACCTGTCTACACTACAATATCAACTACCAGATACCTGTCTACACTACCATATCAACTACCAGATACCTGTCTACACTACCATATCAACTACCATATACCTGTCTACACTACCATGTTAACTACCATATACCTGTCTACACTACAATATCAACTACCATATACCTGTCTACACTACCCTATCAACTACCAGATACCTGTCTACACTACCATATCAACTACCAGATACCTGTCTACACTACCATATCAACTACCATATACCTGTCTACACTACAATATCAACTACCATATACCTGTCTACACTACCCTATTAACTACCAGATACCTGTCTACACTACAATATCAACTACCAGATACCTGTCTACACTACCCTATTAACTACCAGATACCTGTCTACACTACAATATCAACTACCATATACCTGTCTACACTACCCTATTAACTACCAGATACTCACCATTTGACCTTGACCTGTTGTTAAGCTGCTCCTCACGTGAAAGTTCCCCCAACAAAACGCCTGTGCTGGTCCTGCAACTCTGAATGACGTCATCGCCGTTACGGTCACGTGACGCGTGAGTAAAGTCAGTCGTTAGGTCAGCACCAGATGAATAGATTGGTTGGTTGATGCTTGGTATAAGGTAGTCATCATCTGTTGGGGTTTGGGCTAAAATACACAATTTTAAAACAAATTACGACAATTCATTGACCCTTTTAACATGATTTTTATAAACTGGGAGTGATCTCCCCTAAACTCTCTCGAATATTCTTATATAACTTGGAATATAGACATAATTTTTAATTACTTAAACATTTAAAAATAGAATAGAATCTCATAGAAAAAATAATTGCGCACCAAGCGAACACAAAAATAATGTGCATAATAGTGCGCAATATTATTAGTACTTTATAAATTTACATGCGTTTTTTTGAGAAATCGGAAATAGTTTAAATTATTACTTTCGATCAACGGAAATTACTCAAAATTTGACAGAAGGTAGAAAATTAGATCTTTTACTTAAAGGTGAAATTTCATTTATCTATCTGAAATAGTACTCAAGTTATAGGCTTTTGAAAAATTTAAAGTAGAAAAATTATCACTTTCGCTTATCGGAAATCGCTCAAAAGTTGATACGGATCTACGATTTTAATAAAATACTTATATATGAAATTTCATCAACCTAGCTGTAACGGTACTCAAGTAATCGTGTTTACACACAGTCATACAGACACACACACACACATACACAGACACACAGACATACGGACAAGATTGCAAAATTATGTTTTTCCATATCAGTGAGGTGTAAAACGTCGAGATATGTAAAAATCTCGATTTTTTTTGCACGATTACAAGACTTTCTCTATACTTCGTATTTACGAGAAAGTAAAAATGGTTGAGACGTCGACGTCCCCCAGTTCATCCAGCTGTAACGGGTACCTGACTCTAATTGGAGAAAATAACGACAGCTGGAAAACGCTCACTATTACACACCCCTTAACCTAACCTGGTTGATGTATTGCTTCCTTTTAAATAGGAACTCTTTTGTGTAAATCTACAGATAACATTTTTACATTTTGTGACTAAGATATCTCTTGTATGTCTTAGAACGTTATGTATCACAACATAATAAATGACGAATTTAACTCATAAAAGAAATCCCAGGTCCAAACAACATTTCCAAAAGTGGGTCAAGGTCGCTAAACTTAATGTCAGAGTGGTAGATTTAATGTGACACAGGTACCAACATTTCACTCAGTGATAGATCCTAAAGTCACACTCTTGTCAGTTTATACTGACCATCAAACTAATGCTTAAAAAGTCCCCCACTTGAAAACAAAATCTATAGCAAATAGTTCGTTCCTGACTGTAGGGCACTGTAGGTCTATATTGTGTACACCTGGTATCAGAAGTTAATCTATTTCCTGCTTACCTGAGCTAGTCACGACACATTGATGCATTCCGGGTAGGGACTTTAACTTAGCCGTTACAACGATCAAGTAACCACAGCTATAGACACTTTTATTACATCCATCATATATAGTATCGTCACAGCTAAATAATAGCCTCACAGCTACATATAAGTTTCATTGCTTTATAGCCATTTCACAGGTATATAGTAACTTCACAGCTCTAAAATAGCGTTACATATAAGCAAACAACACAGGTCTCCGCGTGTAAAACCCTCCCATGAATCCATAGAACCGTTAGCTGACTGTGTAATCAGATCCTGTTCAAATCCAGGCCTTAGAAATTTGACCTTTGAAATCTTAACAGTTGTTTTTGTTATAGTCCAATTCATTTGATAAGATGGCCGGTCTTCTGGTTGGGGTTCACACACCCACCCCATACACCCCCACCTACCACCACCCACACCCCAACACACAGTCCACACCCCCCACCAACACCCACACACCAACACACCCCCCACACACCTGCCCCCCACCGACACACACCCACCCACACACCAACACACAACCCACACACACCCGCACATCCCACACACCCATCCACCAACACCCCACCAGGGGAATGAAATATCATGTATATGGTCCATGTTGAGGCTTTAATATCATGAAACCATTCCGCGTTAAGCTTCTACCTAGACCAGTTGCGAGGCGGGTTCTTGTGGTGGTGGGGCGGGAGGGGGGGGGGGTGTTTAATTATCTATATATATAATTCTCTTCTTCGAGCCGTTAGAAAACAAGCTGCAAACGCTCTCCCTACCTCCCCACCCCTACATGGTTTTAGTGAGCTGTGTTCACTCTAAATGTTTACAAGCAGAGCCAACGATTTTAAACGTAAGGGGGGGGGGGGAGGAGGAGGGGGGAGGGAAGGAAGGGGGGGGGGGGGTTATGGTCCTTAACGAGCTACTTATAGTGTTTTAAAGAAATATTTTCAGTGTCAGCGTTGGTACTGTCGAATTCACAAATTATGAATTATTGAAAATTAGAAACAACTAAATAGCGGCGTATGTTATGCCGCGGGCCGGCTCGTTATTTATAATCTTCATCATATGCATACACACACGCACGCACGCACACACTCACACAAACACACACACACACACATCCACTCCCATTCCCCAACCCATTCCCTCACACACACAAAACACGCACACACACACACACACACACACACACACACACACATATATATATATATATATATATATATATATATATATATATATATATATATATATATATATATATATATATATATATATATATATATATATATAACATTTTTCCATAACTATTTTTAAAGGAAATATTGTTTGTGACATTCAACATATTGAAATCACGAACACGCCAAGCGGGAAGTAGATCTAGATAATAGTTGTAGCTTAGCTGAAAAAAGTTGTCATTATGTGTTTTTGGGGGAAGAGGGGGGAGGGTTGTACAGTTGTACCGTCCTTATTTTACTCCACTGATCAAAAGACCAAGCAAGCAGCTTAGATTGATTCAAGTGTCGGGAAACAACGACGGTGAAACATCAGTAGTATAATGTCAAGTTACAGGATTCACAATAGGACATGAGAGTATCAGTTTCTGTGGCCACACCTAGTGTCACAGTCGGTACAGTGGTGGGTCTAGGCACTAGGTGGGTCTTGGCTATAGGCGGGTCTAGGTTCTGGGCGGGTCTAGGCTCTAGGCGGGTCTAGGTTCAAGGCGGGGCGGGTCTAGGTTCTGGGCGGGTCTAGGTTCTGGGGGGGTGGGGTGTAGGTTCTGGGCGGGTCAAGGTGGGTCTAGGTTCAGGGCGAGTGTAGGTTCTGGGCGGGTCTAGGTTCTGGGCGGGTCTAGGTTCTGGCGGGTCTAGGTTCTGGGCGGGTCTAGGTTCTGGGCGGGTCTAGGTTCTAGGCGGGTCTAGGTTCTGGGCGGGTTTAGGTTCTGGGCGGGTCTAGGTTCTGGGCGGGTCTAGGTTCTGGGCGGGTCTAGGTTCTGGTCAGGTCTAGGCACTGTGCGGTACTATTAAATTCATTATAAATTGTGCATATTAATTAATTCGATTAGGCCCTATATTCATTTTTTTCTATTTAATTACTACACAAACAGCTAGAGAAAAACAAAGCAACACAGAATAAAATAGAACATGAATTTAATACAAACAACAAAGTAACATAAGACAGCCATCTGGTGCTGAGGGTTAAACATTTAGTCAACAGATATTTAGTCTAAAGATATTTAGTCAACATATATTTAGTCACGAGACATATAGTCACCAGATATTTAATCAACAGGTATTTAGTCAATAATAAATTTAGTGAATAGATATTTAGTCACTAGATATTTATTCACCAGATATTTAGTCAACATATATTTAGTCTACAGAAATTTGAATATAAATAATATTATCTTGAGATCATGGAGATTGTAATGATATAATCTACATACAAGGTTACAAGATATAAATGCTACCCTTAAATTATACACTACTAGATCTGTACATATTTGGTTGAAACACCAGCTAGAAACAATATTTTAAAACAGTACGGAAAGCAACTAGGCTTCCAGCGAAAGTGAAAGCAAAAAATATTTGAGAGCTTTTGTTTGGAAAAGAAAGTCGCTACAGTTAGCTGACTGCACTGTGTAAATCTAGTGATCTGTATCTGCTTTATCTGTAACAAACCAGGAAGTGTGGACTGTGGAAGATAATGGGAGAGATAAGTGCTCTCTGCGGGAGTTCCCCATGTCTGACTTAGGGCAGATCACTAGAGAAGGTCCTTACATAAGTGATTAGATTACATAACGGTGTGCTTGGTAAAAGGTGAGTGGAGGGGGGTGGAAGGAAATAGAATTATATAACGTGTGCTACGTAAAAGGTGGGGGGGGGTGTAGATGCAAGTCATATAATGAAGCATTTACTTGGTAGCTGTTTTTTGTCTTTCATTCTAAATTACCTTACGATTATTGTTATTTAAGAAGAATTTTGTCAAATTAATTGAGTGTATGTCCCGTTTTCTTAACGACCAATCGCAAAATGGGCGGAAGGGCGTTGGGGGAAAAGTATAAAATTAGTTTGACTTCATTTATTGACATCGTATTAACTCATGCGTTTAGCGTATGTAGGCGTTAAAAGCTTTTCTACAGTGACGCTTAGGGCACAGATTTTGTTAGCGTTCAATGATGCACACACACACACACACACACACTAAAACACAACCAGACCTTGGAGTTAGGCGTGGTTTGCCTACACCAGTGGTTCTTAACCTGGGCTCAATCTTATCCCTGGGGTTCGATGAGTCAGTCTGAGGGGTTCGGCGAAGATCAAGACAAACACCCGACTCATATCATTAGCGATCGGATTATATCAGTGCTGACGATAGAACTATTAAGAAGAGTTCGGGGAGTGCGCATTTAAAACTGGTGGGATTCAGTACCTATAAAAGGTTGAGAACCACTGATCTAAAGCCTGATATTCTCATATCCTTGGCGCGGCTTGTGTATGGACACGTAGTCCCCGTCGTCTTGCTGTGGAGCTTGTTGTAGAGCTACAGGTTCTGGTGAATGTCTCCCACTATCTCCTGTCTGAGCCACAGTTGAATCAACCTGAGGCTCCACAGGTTTCATGTCAATGTACCCAGCTTTACTGGCCAAACCCGATGAAAGAGTTTGAGAACCCTCCGGTTCTTCTGGTATCACAGTGGTAGTCTTTGGTTTATTGCTGGCAGCTCCTATGTTGGCATTAATTATTTTTACACCTGGCTTAGAGCCTGTGTGAGTTACAACATTCTCGTAGCTTTTCTTTTGTGGCAAGTCGGCCATATTGAGATTCGGCTCACTTCGCCACAATTGATCTGGCCTGTTGTTGGGCCGAAGGTTTATAATCTCGATGTGAGTGACTGGACGGGACTTGGCGGGGGGTCCAGCTTTGTGGAACTGGGGCGGGGGTTTTGTGGTGGTTGGGCTCGCCACTGTCACGTGACTTTTCTCGTCCTCTGATATCGAGATTCTCGTGTTGTCGCCATCTGTGGTGACCTCGACCTTCTGTTTGACCTGATGACGTGATGGGTCGTACTCATTTCCTGTTGATTAAAATAAAGACAAAAATAATCACGTGATCAAGGAACCCAACACATCCGTAAAGTTGATATCATATATACATTGATAACATATATACATTAAGACTGTTATTGTAATCTTGCTGGGGTTTGTAAAAGCCAAAAACCATGTTTTAAATCTCAGATCATATTATCCTGAGATCTTAGTTAGAATTAAGTGGCTGTGGTTAACTAGAGTTGGGTTATTTCAAAGTCTCACTGTCTTACACTGCATGTCTGACGTTTCGCAGAAAAGATTCACCAAAAACATATTGACTGTAGAGAGACAAACATACAATCATGACCCACGTGACGACACACCATAAAGAGTTCCTACCATCAACAACGACTTGAGTGTAGTCGTGGGGCTCGTCTTTACTTGGGGGCTTGGATTTCTCTATGATAGAAACTCTGGTCTCACCGTTAACTTTAGTGATCTCCACATTTTCTTTGTGATGGGATTCACCTGGTGTATAGAAGGTGATACATGGCAACTGATTCAACATTCTAACTCTGTAGGAGTCTACATACAATGCAATGTCTATCTCACTACCAACGAACTACAAGTTAACTACCATCTCTTCCTACCACTAACATCAACCACCAACCTACCATCTACCTACCATCACCTAACATCAACCTACCATCAACCTACCATCTACCTACACTCCACCTACCATCCACTTACAATCTACCTACTATCTACCTACCATCCACTTACTATCCACCTACCATCACCTACCATCTTACTACCATCTACCTACCATCCACCTACCATCTACCTACCATCTTACTACCATCTACCTACCATCCACCTACCATCTACCTACCATCTTACTACCATCTACCTACCATCCACCTACCATCTACCTACCATCTTACTACCATCTACCTACCATCCACCTACCATCTACCTACCATCTACTTACCATCCACTTACTATCCACCTACCATCACCTACCATCCACTTACTATCCACCTACCATCACCTACCATCCACCTACCATCCGCCTACCATCACCTACCATCCACCTACCATCACCTAACATCCACCTACCATCCACCTACCATCCAGATGAATATTATCATAGCCAGTAGGATGTCGTGTGTGTTGTTGAATATTTCTATTCCTCCCTCTCCTTTTGCATCGACAAATGACCAGCACCACAATGATGATAAGACAACCAAGTTCTACACCAAGTCCTACACCAAGTCCTACACTCAGTCCTACACCTCCTTTCTCTAGAGCCTGGTTCTTTACTGGTTCAACTTCTAGATAGATTTATATAGTCTCAGTTTATGATATTCCTAATTTAGGGGAAGGTAAGTATAGGATTTGTGTGTGGGGGGTGGGGTACTATTTGAATTCTTTGAAGACGTACTGAGATGGGGTGAAGAAATGTAACTCGGTTGGATTGATTGTTTCTTACGTTTATGTTTTTATTTAAAAATGTCTAAGGAATATAGAGACGGGGTATAGAAGGGGTTTGCTGCTACCTAATGGTGACACACAACTGCCTAGCAGTGATAAAACTACTTAAAGGTGACACACCTTAATTATGACACAACTACTTGACGGCGAAATGATTAACAAATGGTGACACAATTGACTAATGGTGACACAACAACTTAAATAATGATAAATTACCTTTTAATGACACATCTACCTAATAATGACACAACCACAAAATACTGATACAACTACCCAAAGGTAACACAAGTAAGAACTGGTGACACACCATCTAATGGTGACACACTATCTAATGGTGACACACTATCTAATGGTGACACATTATCTAATGGTGACACACAAAAAATGACTCAACTGATTCAATACACAACTATCTGATATTGACCATGAAATAGTGACACTCCTTATACGATGACACAACTACTAAATCATGACACAGGCAATCAATGCTGACACAGTTATCTAACGATGACGTAAGTAACAACTGACACAACCTACCCCTGACGCTGACTATAAACTCGACCGTCTTATTCCTGAAACACTTGAGCGTGCCTGACGCCATACACGTACAGTTGGCCTGCTGACCACTGGTCAGTGTGTGGTTGACCTGGCCAGGCCACGTGAACATACCCACACCATCACAGTCCAGAGTGGCATTTCCGGTCTCGTCTGCCACGCACGTGATGTGGATGGAGTGGTTGGACTGTACGTCATGCTCTTGGATGACCGTCCCGTTGTGTAAAAGCTGGACATCGTTTGGTCCTGGTAACATAGAACATCATCTTTTATGTGGAACATAGAACATCATCTTTCTAGTGGAACATAGAACATCATCTTTTATGTGGCTACAAGGCAACATCTTTACAGTGTTTGTTTCTGTTTAGATTATAGCTAGGGTTAAAACTAGTGTTAGGGTAATGTTAGCATTACCAGCAACACAATCTAAAACACCGTCCAACTGGATAACGTAAAAATAAAGGTAGAAGATGGGACCATCTAACAGGGAATTTGGTGATTTTATTTGTGATCACTAGTGACAACTGATAAATAATCATCGGACAGTCTTAAACACTGTCACCAGAAGATTATCGACTCCTATAAAATTTGAACGATGCTTGAAAAGTACATTTATAATAGACAAAACCAAAAATCTGTCACAATTGGAAAAGTTACAACCCCCAAAACATTCCTCATAACTTTGATAGTTTTTCTAAATAGCCAGACGTGTAAAGGACTCTGGAAGCGCCCCCCCCCCCCTCCCGGAGAAAAAAAAAGTCCGAAAGAAACAATCTGTAAAACTACAACTGACCTTGGATCTCCAATTCTCCTGTCTTGTTGGCTGGTACAGGTATATCTGGAAACATGTTGTTCCACGCCACACACCTGACGCTGTAGTTACCAGTCGAGTTCAGCGCCACCTGGTGTGGAAAGTCAACACTGGAACCCTCATGTCGGTCAAGGACGGTCGTGTTGGAGGTGACCTCCAGCTTGAAGACAAGATCTGGATGGCGGACGTTGACAGCAGTACAGTCCAGCTGTAGGAAGATGTTGGACATGTCTGGACACAGCACCATATCGTCTGCTGTTGTATTCCATGAGACTGAGACGTTTTCTGGTAGAACTAGAGACAGGGATTCTTGGTTTAGCATGTCATTTTGTCTTGAACTAAAGACGGATTTTTGGTTTAACAAGTCATTTTGTCTGGGGCTAAAGATATGGATTCTTGGTTTAACATGTTATTTGTCTGTGGCTAAATACATGGATTCTTGGTTTAACATGTCATTTGTCTGGGGCTTAAGACATGGATTCTTAGTTTAACAAGTTATTTTGTCTTGAACTAAAGACGGATTCTTGGTTTAACAAGTCATTTTGTCTGGGGCTAAAGATATGGATTCTTGGTTTAACATGTTATTTGTCTGTGGCTAAATACATGGATTCTTGGTTTAACATGTCATTTGTCTGGGGCTTAAGACATGGATTCTTGGTTTAACAAGTCTTTTTGTCTTGAACTAAACACATGGATTCTTGTTTAAAAGACATTAAAAATATCGTCACACGTCCGCAAGGCGACAAAACAAAGATGTTACTAAGGTATGTCGTTACTTTACCTGCAAACACAGGTGTAAATGTTAGAGAGTTCTGGTAACCTCCCAAACCAGAGCAGACGCGACAACTAAAGTTCTGTGGCACTGGGGGAGAAATGTAGCATTGAAGTTAGATTTACAATTTACACTGAGAGGTGTTACTTTAACATACTTAGGCTCACATTAGGCATCAAAAGATTAGTTTGATATTTATTGGATAGTTGTATGACACTATACAACTTTAATTAATTAACTAACTTTAAATCAATGTTTAGAAATATTCTGTTAGATACCTAACTTTTAGTATGTTGAGTTGTTAACGTTTTTTTGTTTGTTATTACAAATGTTTCGGTATTGAATTCGATTTTTTATTCTATAAGTTATTTTGATATATAAAATTGATAGTTACATTATTACGTTTTTTGTTTTTGGGGTGTAAAGTTAACTATATTTTCTCAAAATAATTTTAATATGTGGAGTTAATTATTTTACTCTCACAATTATTCGGGAATGTAAAGTTGACAGTTTTATTCTCACAACTATTCTGGTACATAAAGTTGATAGTTTTATTCTCACAATTATTCTGGTATATAAAGTTGATAGTTTTATTCTCACAATTATTCTGGTATATAAAGTTGATAGTTTTATTCTCACAATTATTCTGGTATGTAAAGTTAACTATTTTATTCTCACAATTATTCTGGTATGTAAAGTTGATAGTTTTATTCTCACAATTATTCTGGTATGTAAATTTAACTATTTTATTCTCACAATTATTCTGGTATGTAAATTTAACTATTTTATTCTCACAATTATTCTGGTATGTAAAGTTGACAGTTTTATCCACTTGACAGTTGTCAATGTTGACGTGACACACATTGTCCCACGTGACACAGCCCGGGGGTGAGCCCGGACGGTCCAACTTGCACGTGCATGAGGCGTTGGACTGTGGGTGGATGGTCGTGTTGTTGACGTGAGTACCACTGGGACAGTTCACCAAGCTGTGCTCAGGTAGTGCTGGACAAGACAGTCACGTGATGGTGTGATTCAAATGTTGGCAGTCACGTGATGGTATGATTCAAATGTTGGCAGTCACGTGATGGTATGATTCAAATGTTGGCAGTCACGTGATGGTATGATTCAAATGTTGGCAGTCACGTGATGGTATGATTCAAATGTTGGCAGTCACGTGATGGTATGATTCAAATGTTGGCAGTCACGTGATGGTATGATTCAAATGTTGGCAGTCACGTGATGGTATGATTCAAATGTTGGCAGTCACATGATGGTATGATTCAATGTTGGCAGTCACGTGATGGTATGATTCAAATGTTAGCAGTCACGTGATGGTATGATTCAAATGTTGGCAGTCAGGTGATGGTATGATTCAAATGTTGGCAGTCACGTGATGGTATGATTCAAATGTTGGCAGTCACGTGATGGTATGATTCAAATGTTGGCAGTCACGTGATGGTATGATTCAAATGTTGGCAGTCACGTGATGGTATGATTCAAATGTTGGCAGTCACGTGATGGTATGATTCAAATGTTGGCAGTCACGTAATGGTATGATTCAAATGTTGGCAGTCACGTGATGGTATGATTCAAATGTTGGCAGTCACGTGATGGTATGATTCAAATGTTAGCAGTCACGTGATGGTATGATTCAAATGTTGGCAGTCAGGTGATGGTATGATTCAAATGTTGGCAGTCACGTGATGGTATGATTCAAATGTTGGCAGTCACGTGATGGTATGATTCAAATGTTAGCAGTCACGTGATGGTATGATTCAAATGTTGGCAGTCAGGTGATGGTATGATTCAAATGTTGGCAGTCACGTGATGGTATGATTCAAATGTTGGCAGTCACGTGATGGTATGATTCAAATGTTGGCAGTCACGTGATGGTATGATTCAAATGTTGGCAGTCACGTGATGGTATGATTCAAATGTTGGCAGTCACGTGATGGTATGATTCAAATGTTGGCAGTCACGTGATGGTATGATTCAAATGTTGGCAGTCACGTGATGGTATGATTCAAATGTTGGCAGTCACGTGATTATATGATTCAAATGTTGGCAGTCACATGATGGTATGATTCAAATGTTGGCAGTCACGTGATGGTATGATTCAAATGTTGGCAGTCACGTGATGGAATGATTCAAATGTTGGCAGTCACGTGATGGTATGATTCAAATGTTGGCAGTCACGTTTTGGTATGATTCAAATGTTGGCAGTCACGTGATGGTATGATTCAAATGTTGGCAGTCACGTGATGGTATGATTCAAATGTTGGCAGTCACGTGATGGTATGATTCAAATGTTGGCAGTCACGTGATGGTATGATTCAAATGTTGGCAGTCACGTGATGGTATGATTCAAATGTTGGCAGTCACATGATGGTATGATTCAAATGTTGGCAGTCACGTGATGGTATGATTCAAATGTTGGCAGTCACGTGATGGTATGATTCAAATGTTGGCAGTCACGTGATGGTATGATTCAAATGTTGGCAGTCACGTGATGGTATGATTCAAATGTTGGCAGTCACGTGATGGTATGATTCAAATGTTGGCAGTCACGTGATGGTATGATTCAAATGTTAGCAGTCACGTGATGGTATGATTCAAATGTTGGCAGTCACGTGATGGTATGATTCAAATGTTGGCAGTCACGTGATGGTATGATTCAAATGTGGGCAGTCACGTGATGGTATGATTCAAATGTTGGCAGTCACGTGATGGTATGATACAAATGTTGGCAGTCACGTGATGGTATGATTCAAATGTTGGCAGTCACGTGATGGTATGATTCAAATGTGGGCAGTCACGTGATGGTATGATTCAAATGTTGGCAGTCACGTGATGGTATGATTCAAATGTTGGCAGTCACGTGATGGTATGATACAAATGTTGGCAGTCACGTGATGGTATGATTCAAATGTGGGCAGTCACGTGATGGTATGATTCAAATGTTGGCAGTCACGTGATGGTATGATTCAAATGTTGGCAGTCACGTGATGGTATGATTCAAATGTTGGCAGTCACGTGATGGTATGATTCAAATGTTGGCAGTCACGTGATGGTATGATTCAAATGTTGGCAGTCACGTGATGGTATGATTCAAATGTTGGCAGTCACGTGATGGTATGATTCAAATGTTGGCAGTCACGTGATGGTATGATACAAATGTTGGCAGTCACGTGATGGTATGATTCAAATGTGGGCAGTCACGTGATGGTATGATTCAAATGTTGGCAGTCACGTGATGGTATGATTCAAATGTTGGCAGTCACGTGATGGTATGATTCAAATGTTGGCAGTCACGTGATGGTATGATTCAAATGTTGGCAGTCACGTGATGGTATGATTCAAATGTTGGCAGTCACGTGATGGTATGATTCAAATGTTGGCAGTCACGTGATGATGAAAAGTTGCCAGTGCAAGCATACACACATCAAATATCAAACAAGACTTGCATCACACAGATGCAACAGGAGACACATTCACATGTCCATTTTTTTTAAAATGACATTAAAAATACGAAATAAACAGCCCCCTCCCCCACCCCCAACTCTCCTCCCAGGAGTCGTTCAAGGACGACTGCTAAAAACTTGGCCGTCTTCATCAGGGAATTGAAAACTTGTGAATTTTCACATCGGTAAAAACATGTGATTTACACAGATCAAAACATGTGATTTTCAGATATCAAATCATGTGACACATATATAAATATGGGTAGAAACATATGACATATATTAAATCACGTGACTTACCCAGATGAACTTGGACAGTGGTAGCCTCTCCCTGTATCCGTACATCGGGTCTGACGTCACTGTACCACGTGATGTTAAAAGTTTTCAAACCTTTAGACAGGTTGAGCAGTGGCAGAGAGAAGTTGCACCAAATGTCAGAGGGGGACACTCGCTCCAGGTTTGTGTTCTGGGGATGTGAGGCATGTGCTCATTGTAAACACTGGTGGTGATCATGTGACATTGGTGGCGATCATGTGACATTGGTGGTGATCATGTGACATACTTAATGTAAACATTGGTGGTGATCATGGGACATACTTAATGTAAACATTGGTGGCGATTATTTGACACACGAGAAAAATGGCCCGTTGAGGAAGGATACACCGGGCGCTAGGTTGATAGTGCTGTCTCTTTTCTCTAAACAAAAACCACCCCCCCCCCACACACACCACCCCCCCCCACCCCCCACCCACCCCACCCCCCCCAAAAAAAAGCATGTCTACCGTCCCATTCAACAAAATATAATTATATACTTTTTCCAGTGTCCGCCCCCTCCCCGAAAATTCTACCCCCGCCCCCGAAAATTTCAAGTACCCCCACCCCTCTCCGGGGAGGAAAAAGTCTAAATTAACCCCCCCCCCCACTCACCCCCCATCCCCCCCCACACACCCCCCCTCCCCCCACCCCCCACCCACAACCCCCCCCCCCCCCCTAAAAAAACATGTCTACCGTCCCATTCAACGAAATATAATTATATACTTTTTCCAGTGTCCGCCCCTCCCCGAAAATTCTACCCCCGCCCCCGAAAATTTCAAGTACCCCCCACCCCTCTCCGGGGAGGAAAAAGTCTAAATTAAAACCACCCCCCCACTCAACCCCCCCCCCACCCCCACCCCCCTCAGACGTTCTTACGCGGGGGTGGGGCTTCGCCTCTACCCGAAGAATTGTATGCAAGAAACTCTTCACGCAAACCATTTAGATTAGACAACATTTCCTTTTTTTCAATGTTTCAATGACGTCATTACATTACTGTGTGCACTCTCTGGTTTGAGATTATGTTCTACTCTACGCTAAATGTGTCGACGTCATATTTCGTTTTTCGAATTACTGTGCAGGTTTTTAAATTCCTTGTGTTTTCTCTAGAGCGTTCTTGTCAGACAGATAGATAGATAGAGAGACAGCGAAACTATTATTATAGACGAGAAAAATGGCCCGTTGAGGAAGGATACACCGGGCGCTAGCTTGATAGTGCTGTCTCTTTTCTCTAAACTAAAACCAACCCACCCCCCCCCCCCACACACACCACCCCCACCCCACCCCACACACCGCCCCCCCCCCACACACACCACCCCCCCACCCCTCCACCCCCTCCCCAAAAAAAAAACATGCCTACCGTCCCATTCAACGAAATATAATTATATACTTTTTCCAGTGTCCGCCCCTTCCCCGAAAATTCTACCCCCGCCCCCGAAAATTTCAAGTACCCCCACCCCTCTCTGGGGAGGAAAAAGTCTAAACTAAAACCACCCCACCCCCCACACACACCACCCCCCACCCCCCACACACACCACCCCCCCACCCCCCCCCCACCCCCCCCCCCCCCAAAAAAACATGTCTACCGTCCCATTCAACGAAATATAATTATATACTTTTTCCAGTGTCCGCCCCCTCCCCGAGGGGGGGGGGGGGGCTCAGACGTTCTTACGCGGGGGGTGGGGCTTCGCCCCTAACCGAAGAATTGTATGCAAGAAACTCTTCACGCAAACCATTAAGATTAGACAACATTTCCTTTTTATTCAATGTTAACGCGAAAATCAATGACGTCATATAACTTTGAGCACTCTCTGGGTTTGAGATTATTTTCTACTCTGTGCGCTAAATGTGTCGACGTCATATTTCGTTTTTCGAATTACTGTGCATGTTTTTAAATTGCTTGTGTTTTCTCTAGAGCGTTCTTGTCAGACAGAGCGTTCTTGTCAGATACACAGACAGCGAAACTATTAGTATTAATGACCCACTTTCTCCACTTATTCGGAGAACATGTCTGAAAAGAACCGTGCATGCGACCACTCTTTGCCTTGACTAAGTAAGTTCACGTAAAGACAGCTGGACAGAAATCTGACCACTGGCCAAAACGTTAGTGCTACAGAAATGTAATTCATAACGTGCTGGTGTAGCCTTACAAAGTTTTTCTTGCTGAAGTCATACTTGTACAAGTCTTACTGAAGTCATACTTGTACAAGTCTTACTGAAGTCATACTTGTACAAAATGAATAGCACTTCAAGTATTTTATTTATGAACTTGGTTTGAAATGATTTTTTTTTTTAAATTTAAATATTGAAAAGCTAAGTTCTTTTAAGAACTCTTCAATATGTAAGTTAAAATCGTTCAATTATCCATGTCAATAATAATAAATGGGGTGTGGGGGGGGGGGGGGGGAAACCTGGTGTTTGTCATCTAACTTAGCGGATGCCATTTCATTATCGCCTTTCTTCGTTCGTGTCCAAGATAACGTAGCAGATGAAGTAGAGTTAATCTGTTTTAAAGACCATGGTATACATAACCTGGTCGGCATTATGCCCAGCCGTCAGAGTTACCTAACTTGAGTCAGTTACCCATTAGGGCAGGGTAGACTCTGGAATGTTCTACACACTAGTGCCCGAGAACCGATCTAGAGACTTCTGTGTAAGTAGTCGTGATGCCTACTATCCGACCACGCCATACCATCTATGCCATTTAGTACTTTAAAAAACAACTAAACACAAGGAAGCTAAACATCAGTTGAGATTAATCTCAGGAAACTGTAAATATTTTCTGTGACCGGAAGTAACAGACAGCTATACAGTTGGTAAATGTTGATCCAAGGTGAAGGGCAATAAATTATTTGAACAGCTCTTGAAAGCGTTTGATACCCGCAGAACTAGGCATTATACGGGATAGTGAAAAAGACACAAAAGGACAATATAACACTATTAACACGTATGGTATATGTTCGACAGACAGACGATAATAAAGATATACCCTTGACATTATATACAATCTTACCTGTATTTGTATAAGGACATTACCTGGAGCTGTATAAGACATTACCTGGAGCTGTATAAGACATTACCTGGAGCTGTATAAGACATTACCTGGAGCTGTATAAGACATTACCTGGAGCTGTATAAGACATTACCTGAACATTACCTGGAGCTGTATAAGACATTACCTGGACATTACCTGGAGCTGTATAAGACATTACCTGGAGCTGTATAAGACATTACCTGGAGCTGCATAAGACATTACCTGGAGTTGTATAAGGCATTACCTGGAGCTGTATAAGACATTACCTGGAGCTGTATAAGACATTACCTGGAGCTGTATAAGACATTACCTGTAGCTGTATAAGACATTACCTGGAGCTGTATAAGATATTAACTGGACTTGTATAAGGCATTACCTGGAGTTGTATAAGGCATTACCTGGAGCTGTATAAGACATTACCTGGAGCTGTATAAGACATTACCTGGAGCTGTATAAGACATTACCTGGAGCTGTATAAGACATTACCTGGAGCTGTATGAGACATTACCTGAACATTACCTGGAGCTGTATAAGACATTACCTGTATTTGTATAAGACATTACCTGGAGCTGTATAAGACATTACCTGGAGCTGTATAAGACATTACCTGGAACTGTATAAGACATTACCTGAAGCTGTATAAGGCATTACCTGGAGCTGTATAAGACATGTTGTGTTGGGGAATGTGTCTTGGAGCTGTATAAGACATTACCTGGAGCTGTATAAGACATTACCTGGAGCTGTATAAGACATGTTGTGTTGGGGAATGAGTCTTGGAGCTGGCACCGGATGTCCAGAGTTTTGCTGCTGAAGGTTGGTGTGTTGTTGCAGGCCAGAGCTCTGTGGCTGTCTGCAATACACGGACCTTGGTCAATGTAGGTCATCTTAAATGGACGTTGGTCAATGTAGGTCATCTTACATGGACCTTGGTCAGTTTAGGTCATCTTACATGGACCTTGGTCAATGTAGGTCATCTTACATGGACCTTGGTCAATGTAGGTCTTCTTACATGTACCTTGGTCAATGTAGGTCTTCTTACATGTACCTTGGTCAATGTAGGTCTTCCTACATGTACCTTGGTCAATGTAGGTCTTCTTACATGTACCTTGGTCAATGTAGGTCTTCTTACATGTACCTTGGTCAATGTAGGTCTTCTTACATGTACCTTGGTCAATGTAGGTCTTCTTACATGTACCTTGGTCAATGTAGGTCTTCTTACATGTACCTTGGTCAATGTAGGTCTTCTTACATGTACCTTGGTCAATGTAGGTCTTCTTACATGTACCTTGGTCAATGTAGGTCTTCTTACATGTACCTTGGTCAATGTAGGTCTTCTTACATGTACCTTGGTCAATGTAGGTCTTCTTACATGTACCTTGGTCAATGTAGGTCTTCTTACATGTACCTTGGTCAATGTAGGTCTTCTTACATGTACCTTGGTCAATGTAGGTCTTCTTACATGTACCTTGGTCAATGTAGGTCTTCTTACATGGACCTTGGTCAATGTAGGTCATCTTACATGGACCTTGGTCAATGTAGGTCAGCTTACATGGACCTTGGTCAATGTAGGTCATCTTACATGGACCTTGGTCAATGTAGGTCATCTTACATGGACCTTGGTCAATGTAGGTCATCTTACATAGACCTTGGTCAATGTAGGTCATCTTACATGGACCTTGGTCAATGTAGGTCATCTTACATGGACGTTGGTCAATGTAGGTCATCTTACACTTGGCCAGTGACCTACATTGCTGTTTACATCTATGTGGTCACTGTGTTTGTTTAAAATAAAACTTAAATCTACATGCAGCTAAGCAGATTACACGGAGACTAGACGGAGTTGCTTTAGACTACACGGAGACTAGACAGAAATTCTTTAAACTACACAGAGATTTGACTGTGTTTATATAGGCAGCATAAAAACAACATGAACTTTCCGTATGCTACTAGACCTTCAATTGCTTAGATAAGTAAAATCAAAATTAAATCGAGTAAAAGAATACCAGTAATAATGTGTAAAAAATAAATAAACTACCAAAATAAAATACTTTTTAGTTTAAGTTTATTTTTTACTTTCTCGTATATACGAAGTATAGAGAAAGTCTTGTAATCGTGCAAAAAAAATCGAGATTTTTACAAATCTCGACGTTTTACACCTCACTGATACGGAAAAACATAATTTTGCAATCTTGTCCGTATGTCTGTCTGTGTGTTTGTCTGTGTGTCTGTCTGTCTGTCTGTGTGTAAACACGATAACTTGAGTACCGTTAGAGCTAGGTTGATGAAATTTCATATATAAGTATTTTATAAAAATCGTAGATCCTGATCAACTTTTGAGCGATTTCCGATAAACGGAAATGGTACTTTTTTTACTTTGAACTTTTCAAAATCCTATAACTTGAGTACTATTTCAGATAGATAAATGAAATTTGACATCTAAGTAAAAGATCTAATTCTCTACCTTCTGTCGAATTTTGAGTAATTTCCGTTGACCGAAAGTACTAATTTACGCTATTTCCGATTTCTCAAAAAACGCATCTAATTTTATAAAGTACTAATAATATTGTTCACTAATATGCACATTTTGTTTTGGCGTTCGGCTTGGTGTGCAATTCTTTTTTCTATGAGATTCTATTCTATTTTTAAAAGTTTAAGTAATTAAAAATTATGTCTATACTCCAAGTCATAGAAGAATATTCAAGAAAGTTTAGGGGAGATCACTCCCGGTTTATTTTAAATGAAAAAGAAATGATGACGAGTGGATCTTACATTTACAGATGAGGTAGTGGTCAGTGGGGTCAGGAGTGACGTCCTGCGTCTCATTATCCGGTGTCTTCAGGTCGGTGAAAACATAGCCAAAGATTTGGTACTGGGGTAGGGTCGTGTTTGTGTCACATGACCCCAGGGTAGAGATGTCGGCACAAAAACAGGTGCTGGGGGTCAGGTCTTGACTGCAGGACAGTAGAGTTGACGTGTTGTCGTGTGGTGTACAGGAATCAATGGCTGGGGACATGTATTACACATTAATGGCTGGGGACATGTGTTACACATTAATGTCTGGGAACATGTGTTACACATTAATGGCTGGGGACATGTGTTACACATTAATTGCTAGAAACATGTGTTACACATTAATGGCTGGGAACATGTGTTACACATTAATGGCTGGGGACATATGTTACACATTAATGGCTGGGGACATGTGTTACACATTAATGGCTGGGGACATGTGTTACACATTAATGTCTGGGAACATGTGTTACACATTAATGGCTGGGAACATGTGTTACACATTAATGGCTAGAAACATGTGGTACACATTAATGGCTGGGAACATGTGTTACACATTAATGGCTGGGGACATGTGTTACACATTAATGGCTGGGAACATGTGTTACACATTAATGGCTAGAAACATGTGTTACACATTAATGGCTGGGAACATGTGTTACACATTAATGGATAGGAACATGTGTTACACATTAATGGGTGTGGATATGTGTTACACATTAATGGCTGGGAACATGTGTTACACATTAATGGATAGGAACATGTGTTACACATTAATGGATAGGAACATGTGTTACACATTAATGGCTGGGAACATGTGTTACACATTAATGAATAGGAACATGTGTTACACATTAATGGATAGGAACATGTGTTACACATTAATGGTTGGGGGCATGTGTTACACATTAATGGATAGGAACATGTGTTACACATTAATGGCTGGGAACATGTGTTACACATTAATGGTTGGGGGCATGTGTTACACATTAATGGATAGGAACATGTGTTACACATTAATGGCTGGGAACATGTGTTACACATTAATGGCTAGAAACATGTGTTACACATTAATGGTTGGGGGCATGTGTTACACATTAATGGTTGGGGGCATGTGTTACACATTAATGGCTGGGAACATGTGTTACACATTAATGGATAGGAACATGTGTTACACATTAATGGATAGGAACATGTGTTACACATTAATGGTTGGGGGCATGTGTTACACATTAATGGCTGGGAACATGTGTTACACATTAATGGATAGGAACATGTGTTACACATTAATGGATAGGAACATGTGTTACACATTAATGGCTGGGGACATGTGTTACACATTAATGGGTGTGGACATGTGTTACACATTAATGGGTGTGGACATGTGTTACACATTAATGGCTGGGAACATGTGTTACACATTAATGGATAGGAACATGTGTTACACATTAATGGATAGGAACATGTGTTACACATTAATGGTTGGGGGCATGTGTTACACATTAATGGCTGGGAACATGTGTTACACATTAATGGCTGGGAACATGTGTTACACATTAATGGATAGGAACATGTGTTACACATTAATGGTTGGGGGCATGTGTTACACATTAATGGCTGGGAACATGTGTTACACATTAATGGCTGGGAACATGTGTTACACATTAATGGATAGGAACATGTGTTACACATTAATGGTTGGGGGCATGTGTTACACATTAATGGCTGGGAACATGTGTTACACATTAATGGGTGTGGACATGTGTTACACATTAATGGCTGGGAACATGTGTTACACATTAATGGCTGGGAACATGTGTTACACATTAATGGCTGGGAACATGTGTTACACATTAATGGCTGGGAACATGTGTTACACATTAATGGGTGTGGACATGTGTTACACATTAATGGGTGTGGACATGTGTTACACATTAATGACGGGGGGACAGAAGGGAGGGTTTGTGTGGCGTCTTCCCAATACTTCGAGCCTTAGGAGGCGCCAACATGTATTTCCAAAAAGCTCATTTTGAGCTGCATTACAAAATAGTACATTGTGGATATTAAGAAATAGACTGCTACACAATCGAACGAAATTATCTGACTGTTGTATTCATTGTTTTGTGTAACAACAAAGTAAATTATGTTAACAGTTAGTGTACAATTATTCTTACTCATTATAGTCTGGGGACATCACAACACATCAGAAAATGGGGGAAATATACATGCATTACAGAAAACATCAAAATATCTTCATGTTTTATTCATCTATATCTTATAATGGATCGATTCTCAGAAATAATATCAGTGATACATTGTAGGTAATTGTAAAGTATCTTTAAGTTTTGTTTACCCCCACTTTGATGTTAACAACGAACTATTATCGTCACAGTTTTGGGTTCCTAAACAACTACTTCAATACCCACAATTCAACAACTTCAAGAACAACACTGCTGTTATGACACTGACATTATAGCACTGACATTATCACACTTTCACAGCCGAGGCTATTCAAAAATTCAAATTGACCATTTCAAAGGAAGGCTATACAAACCTAAATGTAACAATTTCAAACCTAGGCTATACTAACCTAAATGTAGCAATTTCAAACCTAGGCTATACAAACCTATATGTAACAATTTCAAACCTAGGCTATACAAACCTATATGTAAGAATTTCAAACCTACGCTATATAAACCTATATGTAACAATTTCAAACCTAGACTATACAAACCTATATGTAACAATTTCAAACCTAGGCTATACAAACCTATATGTAACAATTTCAAACCTAGGCTATACAAACCTATATGTAACAATTTCAAACCTAGGCTATACAAACCTATATGTAACAATTTCAGACCTAGGCTATACAAACCTAAATGTAACAATTTCAAACCTAGGCTATACAAACCTATATGTAACAATTTCAAACCTAGGCTATACAAACCTATATGTAACAATTTCTGTAACATTAGCAAGTGGGCGTGTAGTTCTACCCGAGACGAGGAAGTAGAAATGTCAAAAGAGATTCTCACAGTACATTGATTTCACATAGACCAGTTCGTGTGTTACATTGATTATATATGGTCTTGCATTTTAAAAAAACATATCGTCAAATCAAAATACATTCAGTTATAGACAGGGAAGTTGATTAACTTACACCGACCAGAAAAGCCTAGGCAAACACATACATGTAGGCTAACAAGGTAACGTCGTTGGTCTGTTCAGACACTTGTCATCCTAGGCTAAATCAAGTCCACCAGCCCCCCCCCCCCCCCCCAACAAACAATTTCTATGTTTATATAAACCATGACTCTAACAAACGGCTGAATAGCTGAATACTCGACATAACATTTACCTCTGGCGCTGGGAATAAAATATGCGTGCAACTTCCAAATTATTTAAACAATTTACATCAGTAGGAATATCACATGCTATACACTACAGGTCGAATAAAACAAACCCCCCTCCCAATAGAAGCACATGTACACGTAGTTTCAAACCAACACACGGATCTACTTACAGATACCAACATTGACAAGATCTACTTACAGACACCAACATTGACACCATCTACTTACAGACACCAACATTGACACGATCTACTTACATACACCAACATTGACAAGATCTACTTACAGACACCAACATTGACACCATCTACTTACAGACACCAACATTGACACGATCTACTTACAGACACCAACATTGACATCATCTACTTGCAGACACCAACATTGACAAGATCTACTTCAGACACCAACATTGACACCATCTACTTACAGACACTAACATTGACACCATCTACTTACAGACACCAACATTGAGACCATCTACTTACAGACACCAACATTGACACGATCTACTTACAGACACCAACATTGACATCATCTACTTGCAGACACCAACATTGACACGATCTACTTACATACACCAACATTGACACGATCTACTTACAGACACCAACATTGACACCATCTACTTACAGACACCAACATTGACACGATCTACTTACAGACACCAACATTGACATCATCTACTTGCAGACACCAACATTGACAAGATCTACTTCAGACACCAACATTGACACCATCTACTTACAGACACTAACATTGACACCATCTACTTACAGACACCAACATTGACACCATCTACTTACAGACACCAACATTGACACGATCTACTTACAGACACCAACATTGACACGATCTACTTACATACACCAACATTGACACGATCTACTTACAGACACCAACATTGACACGATCTACTTACATACACCAACATTGACACGATCTACTTACATACACGATCTACTTACATACACGATCTACTTACAGACACCAACATTGACACCATCTACTTACATACACGATCTACTTACATACACGATCTACTTACAGACACCAACATTGACACCATCTACTTACATACACGATCTACTTACATACACGATCTACTTACAGACACCAACATTGACACCATCTACTTACAGACACCAACATTGACAGAGATACTCCAAACTGTGAACACAACCAAAAGTTGTTGTCGTGCTGTCGGGTGGATGCTGTTGTACAGCATAGGACGCTTAAATAAACACAGAGAATGTTGCACTTAAATTAAACTTAATGTTAAACAAAAACAGAGAATGTTGCCGTGATAAATCTGGTACAATGGAGACTAATTAGAGGATATGTAAAATAACAGTGACGTCACTAGGTTAGGTCAGACCAGGTGTGGTCACTCTGTGTGTCAACCCCCCCCCCCCCCCCACTATCACATACTGCAGACCATTTGGTGCCCGGCTGTTTCATATACAACTAACTACACTTTCTAAATGTGTCTACAAATTTTAGCTCGTAAACAAGGTTGTTTTTCACACGTATAAAAAAAATAAGCTTGATTTATCGTCTGCACTTTTTGCTTCGTTATAGGTCGAAACTTTCGATCAAAATTAAAAAGTTTTACCGAACTGATTTGTTTCAAACTGAAAACGTTTATCTAGCGTCAATTCAATGCCATGTGGCATTAGCTTTGACATCACCAGATCTTTAATTAATTAAATTTCAATATTGATTGGGGTCGGCGTGGTCGAGTCGGTAAAGCTCATGGTTGCTAAAACCGAAAAGTCTCGAGTACGAACCCTCGGGCAGATGAGGCTCGTTAGCTGGCGACAGCCACTCTTCTAGGAGAGACAACTCCAAAATTAAAACTACTGCTGCCCTGTGGTTTGCTCTTGGTTGGACAACGGCTATGGAAGCAAATCCAAAAAGAAAAGCAGGCTGAAATCGGAGTCAATGGCCTCAATGGCGCATAACAAGTTGACACGTAACGCTTAATTGTGTTGGAGGCGTGGTCGAGTCGGCAAAAAGCTCATGGTTGATAAATTCGAACAAAGTCTCGAGTTCAAACCCACTGGCAGATAAATCTCAATCCCCCTTCAATACTAATAATTAAGAACGAAGAAGAAGAAGACAATATTGATTATTAGGTAATCAACTTTTGTAAAAATTAAAGCGAACTGTATAATATCTTGAAATACTATCATTGCTGAGTACTTAAATTTGCTGAGCACCTACCATGTTAGTACTTTGTCACATATCCATTTTGTTTTTACCGCCTTTAATCGTCTGCAATGACTCAAAGATCAACACATATCTATAATAAAAAGTTATATGTTATTCGATTATACAATGATAAAAACTTACTTGATTATTACTTTTGCAGGAAAAATCATATGTCACCAAAATGTAAATGTGTCTAAATTATAGCCTAATTATGAAATTGTATATACTACGGTAATTAGTAAAATTGTATCAATTGTTACAAAATTATAGACAGGCCTAACCTGGACTAAACCTCACCCTCCAGTGAATGCATGACATGAGAAAAATGCGGCAAGTAGACACCAACATTACCTGTCGAAACCGTAATTAAATCACACAAGTAAAGAAAGTCTAGTAGGATTTCATGTGATCCTAGACCATGTAACATTTGGATGGTGTTGGGATTCAAAAGAAACTTGAAAACAGGTTTTGGGTGGGTGGGGGTAGGGGAGGGTAGGGGGGGGGGGGTCTACTCGTTCTGCGGCCTTCTTTAGGACTGGCTAAAATTTCTTATTTCACCGCGGCGGGATTCAATAGTAAGTACCGGTATGTAAACATGTAGGTGTATGAGTTACCGTTTTCTACCCGTTTTGATTCTTTGCAGAGTAAAGAAAGGGAGGAAACTAATAATAGCAAACAACAAGGGAGGTAAGAAAAATAAACACCAACGGAGGTAAGAAAAGTCTACAACAACGGAGATAAGAAAAGTCTACAACAACGGAGGTAAGAAAAGTCTACAACAACGGAGGTATGAAAGGTAAACAATGAGCGGTAAACAACAACGGAGGTAGGAGTGTAGGAGTAATAAACAATAAGGGAGGTAAGAGGAGTCAACAACAAGGGAGGTAAGAAGAGTCAATAAAAAAGGGAGGTACCTGATACTATTGCGTCATGCGGCCAGGCTTAAATAAACTTCCTTCTAAGGAATCCATAAATCACAAATATACACGGTGTAGCGCCTTTACATGAGGTCAAGGACATACCCCCACCCCCCCCCCCCACCCTCACCTGCCCAGCATAGATTTATTTACCCGCGCTAACAAGCTTACACACAGAACCAGGAAGTGCTTTCCTTTGATCAATACCACCCACCCCCAAGACACCACCCCTCCCACAAGACACCACCCATCATCCAAGACACCACCTCTCCCCCAAGACACCACCCCACCACCACCCCTCCCCCAGACACCACCCCTACCCCAAGACACCACACCTCCCCCAAAGACACACCTCCCCCAGACACCACCCCTAACCCAAGACACCACACCTCCCCCAAAGACACACCTCCCCCAAGACACCACCCCTACCCCAAGACACCACACCTCCCCCAAGACACCACCCCTCCCCCAAGACACCACACCTCCCCCAAGACACCACACCTCCCCCAAAGATACACCTCCCCCAAGACACCACCCCTCCCCCAAGACACCACCCCTACCCCAAGACACCACACCTCCCCCAAAGACACCACACCTCCCCCAAAGATACACCTCCCCCAAGACACCACCCCTCCCCCAAGACACCACACATCCCCCAAAGATACACCTCCCCCAAGACACCACCCCCACCCCAAGACACCACACCTCCCCCAAAGATACACCTCCCCCAAGACACCACCCCTACCCCAAGACACCACTCCTCCCCCAAAGATACACCTCCCCCAAGACACCACCCCTACCCCAAGACACCACACCTCCCCCAAAGATACACCTCCCCCAAGACACCACCCCTCCCCCAAAGATACACCTCCCCCAAGACACCACCCCTCCCCCAAGACACCACCCCTCCCCCAAAGATACACCTCCCCCAAGACACCACCCCTACCCCAAGACACCACACCTCCCCCAAGACACAACCCCTCCCCTAAGACACCACCTCTCCCCCAAGACACCACCCCACCACCACCCCTCCCCCTTGACACCACCCCTACCCCAAGACACCACACCTCCCCCAAAGACACACCTCCCCCAAGACACCACCCCTACCCCAAGACACCACACCTCCCCCAAAGACACACCTCCCCCAAGACACCACCCCTCCCCCAAGACACCACACCTCCCCCAAAGATACACCTCCCTCAAGATACCACCCCTACCCCAAGACACCACACCTCCCCCAAGACACCACACCTCCCCCAAAGATACACCTCCCCAAGACACCACCCCTACCCCAAGACACCACACCTCCCCCAAAGATACACCTCCCCCAAGACACCACCCTTTCCCCAAGACACCACACCTCCCCCAAGACACCACCCCTACCCCAAGACACCACACCTCCCCCAAAGACACACCTCCCCCAAGACACCACCCCTCCCCCCAAGACACCACACCTCCCCCAAAGATACACCTCCCCCAAGACACCACCCCTACCCCAAGACACCACACCTCCCCAAAGATACACCTCCCCCAAGACACCACCCCTACCCCAAGACACCACACCTCCCCCAAAGACACCACCCCTACCCCAAGACACCACACCTCCCCCAAAGAAACCACACCTCCCCCAAGACACCACACCTCCCCCAAAGATACACCTCCCCCAAGACACCACCCCTCCCCCAAGACACCACACCTCTCCCAAAGATACACCTCCCCCAAGACACCACCCCTACCCCAAGACACCACACCTCCCCCAAGACACAACCCCTCGCCTAAGACACCACCTCTCCCCCAAGACACCACCCCTCCCCCAAGACACCACCCCTCCCCCAAGACACCACACCTCCCCACAAGACACCACACCTCCATCAAGACACCACCCCTCCCCCAAGACACCACACCTCCCCCCAAGACACCACACCTCCCCCCAAGACACCACACCTCCCCCAAGACACCACCCCTCCCCCAAGACACCACACCTCCCCCAAGACACCACACCTCCCCCAAGACACCACCCCTCCCCCCAAGACACCACACCTCCCCCCAAGACACCACACCTCCCCCCAAGACACCACACCTCCCCCAAGACACCACATATCCCCCAAGACACCAAGCCGACCACCCCACCACCACTACCACCACCACCCCCACTTCCATCACCACACACGTTGTATCATACTTACCCACGCAGACGATGTGAGTTGAGAATTTCTTCGGGCTCAAATAGATAAGTTCATTATTATATCATGTAAACATTCTCATCATTATATCATGTAAACATTCTCATCATTATATCATGTAAACATTCTCATCATTATATCATGTAAATTAAATATTCTCATCATTATATCATGTTGACATTGTCATCATTATATTATGTAAACATTCTCATCATTATATCATGTAAACATTCTCATCATTATATCATGTAGACATTCTCATCATTATATCATGTACACATTCTCATCATTATATCATGTAAACATTCTTGTCATTATATCATGTAAACATTCTTGTCATTATATCATGTAAACATTCTTGTCATTATATCATGTAAACATTCTTGTCATTATATCATGTAAACATTCTTGTCATTATATCATTTAAACATTCTTGTCATTATATCATGTAAACATTCTTGTCATTATATCATGTAAACATTCTTGTCATTATATCATGTAAACATTCTTGTCATTATATCATGTCAACATTCTTGTCATTATATCATGTAAACAGTCTCATCATTATATCATGTAGACATTCTCATCATTATATTATGTAAACATTCTCATCATTATATCAAGTAAACATTCTCATCATTGTCACCAGTGCATTGTATCATGTAAACATTCTTGTCATTATAAACAGTGCATTATATCATGTAAACATTCTTGTCACTATAAACAGAGCACTATATCATGTCAACTCTTACAACCGATGTCATATAGTGTACGACAGAATGACTTCCCATGGATCTGTACAGTGTGAGAACAGCATAATCAACTGACAAGTTGTATCACCTACTAAACCATCTTAATAGTTGCGATGTACTGGAAGAACTGCCTACATTTGTTTCTAGCTAAGTAATTGTACGACAAAGGTTGACAACTGTAAAATTGTATTACTGAATATTAAACTTTGCAGCTTTCTCTCCCTTGTGTTAACAAGAATACGATCTAGTAGAATAAAAATAATTAAAATGTAATCTCCGGCTTTATTGGGTGATTGTTCAACTGTGGTGTCTTGTGTTTTAATTGGCTTAAACAACTCTGATTAAAAGTGACATACGTAGATGTCACAGGTGTTGATACGTTTTGGGGGGGGGGGGGTTATAATGGGGGGGCGGGGCGAAAATGATACATGTTTATATATATATATATATATATATATATATATATATATATATATATATATATATATATATATATATCTTTGTGTGTGTCTGTTTGTTTCTCTGTGTGTATCTCTATATTTTTTAAACTTTAATTTATATCGTTGCTGAGAGTTAAATTTGAGGTTAAATGACACTGACAGTTTTGGAACAAACTTTTGATCTACGCGAGCCAAAAGCTGAGACCAATTGTGTAGGGCAGATATTCTGATACCCTCACTCACCTCTGATGACCCTACTCATAGGTAATCACACAAATCCAGGCCCTTCAACAACTCGTCACACTATTCTCCCCCCTCCCCCTCCCTCACTTAAAGTACATCAGTTTTAAGGAAAATAAACATCTCTTTGAACTTGAAAATAGACAAAATTAATACAAGTTTCATTTCTTAGGCTCCCGGTCAAAAACCACCTGGACATAACCCCCCCCCCCCGCGGGGATTTATGTAGCGGGGGGTTGTTCAGGGGTTTATGTCCAGGTTTTTTGTTTTTCTGGACACCCATTTCTTGACCCCTTCTTTCAGTGGCGTAGCTAGGAATTTTGGGCCCCTATGCAAAAATTATCATTGGGCCCCTTCGTAAGCCGTCAGGCTACAATGGAGTTAAACGAAGAAATCAACTGCTACTTAAGATCTACAGATAAGAAGAAGGATTTTAAATAATATAAATATTCTTTACATTTTATATTTTATACATCTTGATTGTGTAATTATACTATGTTATTATATGGTTTTGTAAAAATGTTACAGCCTTAAAGTTAATTTGTTTTTGTTTTAACTAAACGAAAAGAGCAGCGTCTTAAGGCTAGGTCAGAGGTGAGGTCCTTTGATGACGACATTTAGGCGTGTCACCATGACAAACCATTGTCAAATTTACAGTCAAAACTAAGTTGTATCCAGCTAAAATAATAAAAGATTAGTGAGAGAGGGGTGACACCTCACCGAAAATGCTATATTGGGAACGATGGGGTGTCAATTTTGGTAAACACGTAGGGTAACACCCGACATTGTGACGCCACTAACCAAATACATTTTTTTTTAATTGCTCATGATTTATTTAGATATTTGGTGTTTTTTTCTTGCTTTTAAATTTGTAAAATGATGAATAAGTTCACTGAGATCTACTTTAGCTGCGTCTGTATGTTTGATTCTTAGGATGGCTAAGCTAAAGACCCAATGGGCATATGTACAAATAATGAGATTTAAGAATTTCATCATATACATCAAAATCTCCCTCCTTATCACAGTGGAATGTTAAAGAATGCTTAAACCAGTGTTTCTTCCAGACTTTTTTCTCCGGGGGGGGGGGGGGGGCACTTGAAATTTTCGTGGGGGGGGGGGGGCGGTAAACTTTCTTCGGGGGGCGGGCACTGTTAGAAGTATATATTTTCTATATAAATTATACACATTTCATTCCGTTCGGGGGGCGGTAAAAAATTTTCGGGGGGGCCTTCGCCCCCCGAAGAGATGCCTGGAAGAAACTCTGGCTTATACTTTGCCCGTCCTCTGCGATCTAGGTCCACATACCATGGTAACGAAACTATTTGTAAGGGTTTTATCAACGCGTTATCAATTGTGTATTTTTAGTCATGGGACCTTGTTTTCTAAAACTGATATACGTTTTGTTAACATGCAAACAACAACTTCGCTATTTTTTTTTATCATCTTCCTTAATAGTGAGGTTGAATACCTTTCGGCGATCACCTAGGTGTCAAGGTCTTCGCGGAAGTGATTGGTTACACCACCGTAGGTGACCAGATACAACCTCTGGTTTTGTTTAGTCGTCGAATGTAGAGGCACACCCTGTCCCTATTGTAGAATACTCGTGTGATTGGTGTCGAAAGCCGCCCTGTTGCAGTTTGACCGCTGAATCAAGACTCTGCAGGACGCCCAATCAACGGATTTCGTGCACTCATGTATCCGCTGGGTAACTAGGGGCGACCAACCGTTACTACTGCTAAAGCGCCGGAGGACACCCCTTTTTCGATTTAGTAATCGACTTTAGTATCACGACGTATCCCTAGTGTATGGCGCTCATTAAAACGAATATAGGCGCCATAATGCTCATCTGGGAGCCCGGGGCGCACCGGGTTACACGACGGCCGAGGTGCCGGCTGCAATTTGACCACTGAATTAAGAAGTAACGCTTACCCGCTGCCCAAGACACCCATTAAACAGACCCCTGATAGCTGTTGGGAAACTCTTGGTGGTAAACTGCGCCGCCTTACTGCCGGAGCGCCACCCTCAGAAATAAAAATTTAATGGCAAAAACCTTCCCAAAAGTCGGAGTTTCTTTCATGCACCTTTTCAGGAAAAAAACACTTCCTTTAAAATATTCTCAACGACAACGACTTCCCAAAGTTTCTTGGCGATTGGATAAAAATCAAAAACGTATAGCGTTGGTAGCGCCATATTGATTAAGGAATGATTAGATCAACAAAGGAAATGTCATTAAGGTAAAGAAAAACAGTGACAAATGTTGGACTCTGCTGGTTGTGAGAACACTGTCCATGGTTAATACATTTTTTAAAATGTTTCAGTTGTTATCATGGATGTTTAGTTAGATGGAATTTCGTGGAGGGCAGACATCTGGGAGAGAGGTGCATGTCTGTTGGATGGGGTAGGGAATTTCCCAGTTAGTTGAGGTTTGTAGCGATACATGTAGATTTACTGGTGCTGGATGCCGATCTTACAAAATATCGAAGTTCAAGTTTATTTATAGGCTAACAAGCCATTTACCTAAGAGCATGCAAAAAATTAGCCAGATGTAAAGAGGGTAAGTGCCCTAAAATCCGTTTTGAAATCACCCTCTGTTTTTCCCATAAAATACAAAGATTATATAGGGAAATACGACTGGTCAGTTTTGACCCATTTAACGAATTTTCCCGGACATGGCGAGTTTTTTGGGACACCCCAAGGCGTTCTCCTACCACCTCACAAAATTTCAAGGGGGGTCGTCGGAGGAATTTTTTTTTCGTAATATAGCCCATATAAGGCGCCGGTCAGTCGAGGTCAGTTTTGACCCCCTCTCCGTAGACTTTTCGGCAAACCGTCACCGGCCCTCGTGTTCTATTGCCCCAAGGCACCATCGTGCCAAATTTGACGCGCCTGCGGCGCCGGGAAGTGCCCTATCGGGCACTTGACCACTTTGCTTTATATATATAGATTCTCTCAATGGCTTGCAGGATCATGCGGCAACGCCTGTAGTGATATTAGGGATGGGCCCTGTTCGACCCTCCCCCCCCCCACTAAATCCCACTAAAGTAAGAAAAGACTTGGGGCCTTTTTGGAACTTTTAATTATTTCTACAATAGAAAAGAAACTGAATTTTCCTTTTCTTTAATTATTTATATTTAAACAAATATTAAAATTTCAATGTGGTGTTTTACTTTTTTTAAGGAGGTAAAAGGGCCCCCAAAGTGTCGTGGGCCCCTATGCTTTGCTTTACGGTAGCTACGCCACTGCCTCCTTTATGTAGCGTTCCATTTCACCTCAATAAAATTAACTTCTACACAAGTTAGGTCTACACTTAAAGATTCAGCACATGAATTTTCTCACTCTTATATCATGTGTCTTAATTAAGCTAGCAGACTCAAAACGTTCTCAATCTTTAACTTAAGTTAACAGACTCAAGACTTCATCAACCCACACCTTGGATCTAGCTAAGCCAACAGACTCAAGACTTCATCAACCCACACCTTAAGTCTAGCTTCAGCGAACAGACTCAAGACTTCCTCAACCCACACCTTAAGTCTAGCTTCAGCGAACAGACTCAAGACTTTATCAACCCACACCTTAAGTCTAGCTTCAGCCAACAGACTCAAGACTTCATCAACCCACACCTTAAGTCTAGCCTGAACACACCCGTTATTGACTCACATCAGCTTGCACGCCAGCTGTTGTTACACTTGACCTAAAATATGAAAATTCAAAGTTTCTCTACATTGATTTTAACAAGAGATTAAACACGCGCATTGCTGGATGACGTAATCTTTAGTTGTGTGTAGAGCTGTTGAACACCTGTAGCAAGGTGTGTCAGACTTCTATAACACCTGTAGCTAAATATGCTGGACACTTGAAGCTGTATGTATTATACATCTGAACCAGGTATTTTATACACGTTCAAGGAGCATTGAAGCTGGTAAGTTGTCTACGCTGTTTCAAACAATTTTATACTACTAACTACGTCTTAATAGTTTTGTTTGTTTTCTTTTTTATTCTGTATACATTGTGCGATTTTTTGCTTACATTAAATAGACTTTACTCATCGCAAATCAATTTAGCTGTTGTTATTGTTATTCTTGTTATGATGTTTGTAAACTGCTGTGATGTTATAACTATTGATTGTATTACAATCATTTTATACCTGTTATTCATCAGGTTCATTGTGATTGGCTGTCTAAATTTAGATCTCTTTAAAAATGTATCGGGTGTCAGAAACTACTTGCTGAACAGCGACAAAACTTACATGTAGCTTTAAAAAACACATCATGCATACTCTGTGGCATATTGGCATGTCACTGACACAGTGACAGTTCTGTCACACACTGACTCTCCACCGACACAATAACCACCACTTACTGACCACTCACTAACACACTTATGACACTCTAACCATTGATTGACACACTTCTCGCACACTAACCACTGCATGACACACATACGACACACCGAACCTTGTGATGAGAACCAGAACGTCCCAGCCACATAGCGCCATAACACAAACGATCCAATGACGGATCAAAAGTCTCGCTCGTCCGATGACGTCACTGACGCCGCCTGTGCTGTGGTCATCCTATCCGCTGCCAGACAAAATGTCGTCTTCTGCAAGGACTCCAGACACACGACCTTGACCGTGACAGAGACACCCACCACCCGCTCCCCCGCCCGCCTGTTTGGGCCGCTGCTGGCGTGGGTGTCCCGCCTACGCCAGGAAGAAAAATATTTCTACGTCGACCTCCACCTGACCAGGTACTTCTCCAGGTTCCTGGTCGGTGACGTCACGAGAATTCTCCGCCACGTCACGATCAAAGAGCAGTTCTACACCGGCACCAAAGTCCTCATCAAGTTCAAAGGTCAGAAAGGTCAAGTGAGCGTGGCCCACGAGCTGCTAAGCGCCCTCAGGTCTAGAGTGACGTCACGTGATGCGGTTCTATGCCACGAGTTCCAGGAGCCTGACGACCTGGATCTGGTGGCAGCTGGCATCAAGTCACGTGTCTTAAGACACTGTCTGGACCAGCTGGAGATAGAACACAGGTGTCTCGTGGACCTACACTGGACACCAGACACACAAGACACAGCAGACTTATTAGAGACACCAGACACATTAGAGACACCAGACACATTAGAGACACCAGACACAAACCCCAGTGGATTATCGTGTCAGCAACATTCAACATGCAGCCAGCCTCGTGTTGAGATCTTCTACGACATCCGAAACGTCAACCTCCTCATCCACACGAACACATCCAACTACAAACAAGTTGTCGGAGATTTCCTCTGGCGACAAGTCAAGCGAAAGATTATCGAGTGCTGCTTGTACACCAGTGTGTACAACCTGTCTAAAACACATCAGCTTGTGACGTCAAATCTAACACGCTTTATCAACTCCAAAGCTAAAGGGCTGAACGTTATTCTCGTGTGGCCTGAAGACCCGGATCTAGAAGGTTCTGTGATAAAGATTAGAGGAGAGAGGAGTGCTGTTGACAAGTTAAAATGTTACCTAGATAAATCGTTCGCGTTAATTCAGACTAAATTAGACGCGGCCAAAACTAAACCGGCGCCTGTGGAATTCTTGCAGTACGCCGGCTGTCAGGACCAAGTTCCGGCATACTGGGCAAGCAGTCTCCATGGTAACGGCGATGACGCGACTAAAGTTCCAGAGCGTATCGTCGAGGTCGATGACCGGACAAAGTCTGCGATAACTCGTCTGGTGGAAGACACGTGGGACAGGTCACGTGTCGGGGCCGGCAGAGACGCCATCGGCTTACGTCACACCGGCATCCAGGTGTGTGCAGTCAAGCGTATCGAGAACCCGAAGCTGTTCTCAGCCTACAGCGCCGAGAGGAGACGTCTGCTGGAGGCCACCCGCTCACAGAAGCGGGTGTGCACGCCCGTGGGTCAAGTCAAAGGCTCGTCTGGGAGCGTTGTGACCTCCGACCTCCTGGACGAGTCCATGAAGTCAGAGCTCTACCACGACGTCAACGAGCACTACCTGTTCCACGGCACCAAATGTAAATTTATCGACGCTATAGTGAACAACGGCCTTGACCCGAGGGTAGGTCGACAGGACGGGCTTCTGGGTAAAGGGATCTACACGGCAGAGAAGTCCACCAAAGCTGACCAGTACACAGGTATGTGGTTTTCATCAGTACACAGGTATGTGGTTTTCTTTGGGACCAGTACACAGGTATGTGGTTTTCTTAGGGATCTGTACACAGGTATGTGGTTTTTAAGGGACCTGTACACAGGTATGTGGTTTTCACCAGTACACAGGTATGTTGTTTTCATCAGCACACAGGTATGTGGTTTTCTTTGGGACCAGTACACAGGTATGTGGTTTTCTTTGGGACCTGTACACAGTATGTGGTTTTCACATATACACAGGTATGTGTTTTTCTTAAGGACCAGTACACAAGTATGTGGTTTTCTTAGGGACCAGTACACAGGTCTGTGATTTTCACATATACACAGGTATGTGGTTTTCACATATACACAGGTATGTGTTTTTCTTAGGGACCTGTACACAGGTATGTGGTTTTCACCAGTACAAAGGTATGTGGTTTTCTTAGGGACCTGTACACAGGTATGTGGTTTTCACCTGTACACAGGTATGTGGTTTTCTTACGAACCAGTACACAGGTATGTGGTTTTCACCGGTACACATGTATGTGGTTTTCTTAGGGACCTGTACATAGGTATATGGTTTTCTTAGGCACCTGTACACAGGTATGTGGTTTTCTTAGGGACCTGCACATAGGTATGTGGTTTTCACCAGTACACATGTATGTGGTTTCCTTAGGGACCAGTACAACGGTATGTGGTTTTCACCTGTACACAGGTATGTGGTTTTCTTAGGGACCTGTACATAGGTATGTTGTTTTCTTAGGCACCTGTACACAGGTATGTGGTTTTCACCTGTACACAGGTATGTGGTTTTCACCTGTACACAGGTATGTGTTTTTCTTAGGGACCAGTACACAGGTATGTGGTTTTCTTAGGGACCAGTACACAGGTATGTGGTTTTCTTAGGGACCAGTACACAGATATGTGGTTTTCTTAGGGAGCTGTACACAGGTATGTGGTTTTCACCTGTACACAGGTATGTGGTTTTCTTAGGGACCTGTACATAGGTATGTTGTTTTCTTAGGCACCTGTACACAGGTATGTGGTTTTCACCTGTACACAGGTATGTGTTTTTCTTAGGGACCTGTACACAGGTATGTGGTTTTCACCAGTACACAGGTATGTGGTTTTCACCTGTACACAGGTATGTGGTTGTCACCTATACACAGGTATGTGGTTTTCTTAGGGACAGGACGCAGGTATGTGGTTTTCTTAGGGACCTGCACATAGGTATGTGATTTTTACCAGTACACAGGTATGTGGTTTTCACCCGTACACAGGTATGTGGTTTTCACCAGTACACATGTATGTGGTTTCCTTATGGACCAGTACACAGGTAAGTGGTTTTCCTTGGGACCAGTACAACGGTATGTGGTTTTCACCTGTACAAAGGTATGTGGTTTTCTTTGTGACCAGTACACATTTATGTGGTTTTCTTACCTTTCTGTTTTCATTCACAATTTGTTTCTTAGCTCAAACATTAAGTTATGATTTTTGTCCTGTCCATATTCCCCACCAAATGTCTCATCAGATTGTCCATGTTCCCCACCAAATGTCTCCCTACTTTGTCCAAGTTCCCCACCAAATATCTCCCCAGATTGTCCATGTTCCCCACCAAATGTCTCCCCAGATTGTCCATGTTCCCCACCAAATGTCTCCCCAGATTGTCCATGTTCCCCACCAAATGTCTTCCCAGATTGTCCACGTTCCCCACCGAATGTCTCCACAGATTGTCCATGTTCCCCACCAAATGTCTCCCCATATTGTCCATGTTCCCCACCAAATGTCTCCCCATATTGTCCATGTTCCCCACCAAATGTCTCCCCAGATTGTCCATGTTCCCCACCAAATGTCTCCCCCAGATTGTCCATGTCCCTACCAAATGTCTCCCCAGATTGTCCATGTTCCTCACCGAATGTCTCCCCAGATTCTCCATGTTCCCCACCAAATATCTCCCCAGATTGTCCATGTTCCCCATCAAACATCTCCTTAGATTGTCCATGTTCCCCACCAAATGTCTCCCCAGATTGTCCATGTTCCCCACCAAATGTCTCCCCAGATGGTCCATGTTCCCCACCAAATGTCTCCCCAAATTGTCCATGTTCCCCACCAAATGTCTCTCCAGATTGTCCATGTTCCTTACCAAATATCTCCCCAGATTGTCCATGTTCCCCACCAAATGTCTCCCCAGATGGTCCATGTTCCCCACCAAATGTCTCCCCAAATTGTCCATGTTCCCCACCAAATGTCTCCCCAAATTGTCCATTCTCCCCACCAAATGTCTCCCCAAATTGTCCATGTTCCCCACCAAATGTCTCCCCAGATGGTCCATGTTCCCCACCAAATGTCTCTCCAGATCGTCCATGTTCCCCACCAAATATCTCCCCAGATTGTCCATGTTCCCCACAAATTGTCTCCCCAGATTGTCCATGTTCCCCACCAACTATCTCCTCAGATTGTCCATGTTCCCCACCAAATGTCTCCCCAGATTGTCCATGTTCTCCACCAAATGTCTTCTCTGTTTATGTTCCCCACCAATTGTCTCCCCACCAAATGTCTCCCCAGACTGTCCATGTTCCCCACCAAATGTCTCCCCAGATTGTCCATGTTCCCCACCAAATGTCTCCTCTGTTTATGTTCCCCACCAAATGTCTCCCCACCAAATGTCTCCCCAGACTGTCCATGTTCCCCACCAAATGTCTCCCCAGATTGTCCATGTTCCCCACCAAATGTCTCCTCTGTTTATGTTCCCCACCAAATGTCTCCCCACCAAATGTCTCCCCAGATTGTCCATGTTCCCCACCAAATTTCTCCTCTGTCCATGTTCCCCACCAAATGTCTCCAGATTGTCCATGTTCCCCACCAAACGTCTCCCCAGATTGTCCATGTTCCCCAACAAATATCTCCCCAGATTGTCCATGTTCCCCACCAACTATCTCCCCAGATTGTCCATGTTCCCCACCAAATGTCTCCCCAGATTGTCCATGTTCCCCACCAAATGTCTTCCCAGATTGTCCATGTTCCCCACCAAATGTCTCCTCTGTTTATGTTCCCCACCAAATGTCTCCCCACCAAGTGTCTCCCCAGACTGTCCATGTTCCCCACCAAATGTCTCCCCAGATTGTCCATGTTCCCCACCAAATGTCTCCTCTGTTTATGTTCCCCACCAAATGTCTCCCCACCAAATGTCTCCCCAGATTGTCCATGTTCCCCACCAAATTTCTCCTCTGTCCATGTTCCCCACCAAATGTCTCCAGATTGTCCATGTTCCCCACCAAACGTCTCCCCAGATTGTCCATGTTCCCCACCAAATATCTCCCCAGATTGTCCATGTTCCCCACCAACTATCTCCCCAGATTGTCCATGTTCCCCACCAACTATCTCCCCAGACTGTCCATGTTCCCCACCAAATGTCTCCCCAGACTGTCCATGTTCCCCACCAAATGTCTCCCCAGATTGTCCATGTTCCCCACCAAATGTCTCCTCTGTTTATGTTCCCCACCAAATGTCTCCCCACCAAATGTCTCCCCAGATTGTCCATGTTCCCCACCAAATTTCTCCTCTGTCCATGTTCCCCACCAAATGTCTCCAGATTGTCCATGTTCCCCACCAAACGTCTCCCCAGATTGTCCATGTTCCCCAACAAATATCTCCCCAGATTGTCCATGTTCCCCACCAACTATCTCCCCAGATTGTCCATGTTCCCCACCAAATGTCTCCCCAGATTGTCCATGTTCCCCACCAAATGTCTTCCCAGATTGTCCATGTTCCCCACCAAATGTCTCCTCTGTTTATGTTCCCCACCAAATGTCTCCCCACCAAGTGTCTCCCCAGACTGTCCATGTTCCCCACCAAATGTCTCCCCAGATTGTCCATGTTCCCCACCAAATGTCTCCTCTGTTTATGTTCCCCACCAAATGTCTCCCCACCAAATGTCTCCCCAGATTGTCCATGTTCCCCACCAAATTTCTCCTCTGTCCATGTTCCCCACCAAATGTCTCCAGATTGTCCATGTTCCCCACCAAACGTCTCCCCAGATTGTCCATGTTCCCCACCAAATATCTCCCCAGATTGTCCATGTTCCCCACCAACTATCTCCCCAGATTGTCCATGTTCCCCACCAACTATCTCCCCAGACTGTCCATGTTCCCCACCAAATGTCTCCCCAGACTGTCCATGTTCCCCACCAACTATCTCCCCAGACTGCCCATTCAGCAGACACCAGTCTGGCACCTACAAGACTATGCTGCTGGTCCGTGTGTTGCTGGGTGACGTCTGTTTGATGGACGACACGCATGACTACATCACACGTGAGTCCCACTTTAGGAACTTGTGGTGTACAACACATAAAGACAATATTAGACGCTCTACATCTACACACCTCTACTCCTGCCTACACAGTTAATCGAACAGTGACTAGTGTGTCAGCCTCAGTCATCAATAACACACAGGGGTAAAATTGTCCCGCCGGTCTACCGGTACAAATCCCGATGGGTCCCCTGGAACAGTGCGGTTCTAGGCTTATTAGTGCTAGGATTTAAAAAATATTATGTCGCGTTAATTCCCATCCAGCTGAGGATGATCATCAGGCTATGATGGCGAAAAATGTACAATTAAAAATTTTTTGAAGCCCGTTTAAAAATTACATGGACCCTCTTGGACACAGTCAGCCCACCCCTGATAAGACACAACATGTGTTGGCCCAAATCAATAGCACACCATGTTTTAACAAAAGCCCCTTCCAATAACGTAGGCAGTGTGTCGGGGGTCGTGTGGTGTTTTTCCCCCATTAAACTACACATGTGTCGGGGGTCGTGTGGTGTTTTGGCCCCATTAAACTACACATGTGTCGGGGGTCGTGTGGTGTGTTGGCCACACATAACGATTCAACACATTTAACAACACAAGACGCCTTAACTAAATTTAGTATCAGACCATGTCACATGCTGAAGCCCAGGTGTGCACGTCCTGGTCAATAAAACATTAAATAAAGGACACATTGAATAACACTCTGTATTACATCAACTGTGTCTGCATTACATGGGTACAGGGCATTACCCCCCCCCCGTCAAATACCCACCGGACGTTCCCCCCCCCTCCCCCGTCATTACCCCCCCCCCCCCCCATCTCCGGAGTAATGACCCCCCTGTTAATTACCCTCCGCCCAGTAGGACATCATCCCCCGGTTAGAGCTTAAGGTTCAATTAGGGTTAGAGCTAGGGTTTGGGTTTGGGCTAGGCCAAGGTCTAGAGTTAGCGCTAGGGTTAGGGTTAGGGTTAGGGTTAGGGCTAGGGCTAGGGCTAGGACTAGGGCTAGGGCTAGGGCTAGGGCTAGGGCTAGGGCTAGGGCTAGGGCTAGGGCTAGTGTTAAGATCAGGGTTAGGCTTAAATAAATGTCTGGAGTTGGGTTGGTTTTGGGTTAAATTTAGGGTACTGTGAATTCTTAGGTTTTTCGTCTTTGTCCTATCTTGGTGGATTTGGGAGGGGGGTTGTAATTCCCCAGGGGAATAATTGACAGGGGCTAATTGCTCCGGGGGGGGGGGGGGTAAATACGTGGGGGTGGGAAATGTCCGTAGGTGGGAAATGTTAAATGTCCTGTGCCGTATTACATGAGCTGTGTCTGTTTTACCTTAAAGTTTCCTTTCAAACATGACGGTCTACGGGGCAAGTGAAGTAGAGTTCATTTGTTTCTGTGACCTCGGCATATGAAGAGATAGTGTGGTCAGCACTATGTCCAGCAGTCTTTAATTTTTATAACGTGAGTTAGGTACCCATCAGAGCTGGGTGGACTCAGGGACGGTCTACAGACTTGAGCCAGGATTCAAATTCTAGACTTACCGGTTAACAGTCTAGCTCTCTACCGCTAAGCCAATCCATCCCACTCTGTAATTCTTGAGCTGTGTCTGTATTACCTAAACCTAGAGGACCCATTAACTAACAGATTTTAATTTCACCAGGAAACGAAAAGCTGACCAGACCGCCGTGTATGCAGTGTGAGAAAGACAAGTGCGCATGCGCAAACCAACAGCTTTATGGGTCAGTGATGGCCGACGGGAAGTGGCTTTTCCGCGAGTTTGTCGTGTATGACAAGAACCACTGCTACCCTGAGTACATCATCAAATATTTAAGGGTGTAGATGCGTAGCAGTACAATGTACACAATGTACACGATCATTAGTTGACATGTGTATACACATTGTATACTCAATGTGCACATTTTCTGCACATATTAGCAGCTATCTGAGCTACGTGGAGGGTTGCCAGATACCTTTTCCGAAAATACTGGACACCTTTCCATTCTTCCCTTCTCAGGTATGCCGCAAAGCAGAAGAAGGGGGGTAACAGAGTATTATTCATATACTTGTACAGTATTTATATTTATTTTGTCCTGGACAGTCTGCTCAAATACTGGACTGTCCAGTTCAAAACTGGACACCTGGCAACCCTAGCTACGTGTACACAATGCAATTATTCAGTCTAGTTGCATCATTATATAAATATCATGGAAACAAAACTCAAACATCTAAGAACGGTGATGAGAAAAAACGGACATAACAATTTGTATGTCGAAAGTTCATTAAAACTAATTATCTAACACTAATTCTTGTTTGTATTTGATTCATTAGAGATGTAATTACATTTTTATAACCATACGGACTTAATATTTTTAATTTCACATATTGTTAAAAATCCTGACAACACTTACGTGAAGCCTGTATTACATTTTTTTTTACATTTGGAATATTGCAACATTATTTTTACAACAATAGGATGCTGCTACAATTTTTTGATAAAACTTAAATGTTCGTAATATGTGTGCTCCACACAAACTCTGTAGTCTAGGCAGAGGCGTTGTGAGGGCGGGGCGGGGGGTGCGGACCGCACCGGGTGAGACCACTTGGGGGGTGGGGGGGGGGACACCAAAGCAAAATAAAGGCAAAATGTACATAAGAAAAATGCTTTTTTGCCAGTTCCATTAATGATTAATTATAGTTAATTAGTCTTTTAAGTACGAATCGACTATTATAACAAGCGGGTAGGGGTGACACCATGACGTAAACGCGCCAACTATAGAGAAAATCATGCTACATCCAACTGTATTATTAACAGACTAAAGATAAACATCGTTACTATTAAGTCTGCAGAGATTAAAGCTTATACGCAAATATGTAGCATACTAGGCATGCTGCCCAGCTTCGCTTAGGCTTTCGAAAACATTGAGAATTTGAATGCTTAATTAATTCGCCCGAAGGTCGGTCTACGACCTCAAGAGTTATGAAGAGGTTCCTCCGTGGACATTTTTTTTTCGATTTATAGCTCATATAAGGTACCGGTCAGTCGAGGTCAGTTTTGACCCCCACATCGTAGACTTTTCGGCCAACCGGCCCCCGTGTTCTGTCGCACCAAGGCAAGATCATGCCAAATTTGAAGCGCCTGCGGCGCCGGGAAGTGCCCTATCGGACACCCGACAATCTAGATCTAGATCTAGATTCCTAAAAGAATTTTTTTTTTAAGTTTAGCCCGAGCATAATAAAAAAGAATACATTAACCAAGTTGACTTGCTGTGTCTCGAACCCGCACCACCTGCGTGGTTTAATATACACTAACATCTCCGCTATTTAGGCACCTTATAAAATACGGAGAATGAAACACGTATTTTAAAATCTTAACTTACGCGAATATGCCTATTCTTTCAAATTAATTTTTTATCCCAAATTAGCCAGTTCCAAACAAAGATTTTGTATAAAATAAATAAGTCTTGAAATAGTTTAGTCCTAATATAGAAATTTATTTTTGGAATTGATTTTAGAGAAGTTAGAGTCTAAATCTAGATCTTAGCGTCTACGTCTAGATCTAGTTATTGCGTAGATTTAGATTTAGATTTAGTCTAGATCTAGAATCTCTAGATCTAGAATCCAAATACATAAAATAAATTTTATGAGTTTAGGCCGGAAAAATTGTATTGTATACATTTCATAGTGTACGTAGATCTAAATCAAATTTGAATGAAATAGTTCATTTGTTTTCATTCTAAACACGGCAGATGACGTCATTAGTTAATGTATAAGCAATAGTGACGTCACAGTTTTATGCGTTCTTTTTCACATATATTAATGCTTTTCCGGTTGCATAAATAATACTGTTTCTCTACATTCGAATACGCCTTAAATTTTTATTTTTCTTCTTTAAATAAAATTGTGGTTATACATTTAAAACATCTAACATATTATTTTCAACAAAAGTCCGTAAAAAATTCTCGATATATCGCTGCCGATTCTGACGTGATGTCCGGCGAAAATTTTTTGCGGACAGAGAAAGAGAGAGAGAGAGAGATGTGCGAACGTGGGGATTTATAAATTAGGATATTTAAATTATGGACTTATTTAGGCCGACACACACGATTATATATATATATATATATATATATATATATATATATATATATATATATATATATATATATATATATATATATATATATATATATATATAGGCCTATATGTATATATATATATATATATATATATATATATATATATATATATATATATATATATATATATATATATATATATATACTTTTTGACTTGGGGGTGACACCACGAAGTGTCGCACCGGGTGACACCCGACCTAGCGACGCCACTGAGTTTACGTGTGAGCAGTACATTTGCTTATCACCGGAATCAGTTTTGGCGTTTTACATCACAGCAAGTTCAGCGGCGACACTAGAAAGTAAAACATACACATAACATACGTGTATGTGAATAGATTGTCACTTTCACATAGCTACCTCCTCCATTGCCACATTAATTAAAGATACCATTTTCAGTTAGCGACGCTACTAATTTAATCTTCATAGGTTGGTTAATGCAGCTTTAACTACTAGCAAATTATATCATGTTTTGAAAAGCCCCCTTATCCATTGTGTAAGTTGTATACCATAACATGGCCGTTATGTTCACCTTTACAGCTAAAAGACATTGTAGAGTACTATACTTTTACGAGGCACTAGTCAGAAAATTCATAAAGAATACTTCCGTAACAACGCTGGATTTATTCATAGCGCCTACATTATTGATTAATGTATCGAATATGCTACATACGGATATTCCCAAACGAGGATAGAAAGACAATGTAAACCGGTCAGTTTCAGACCAGGTAGGTACAGATAGAAGATTGGCTTACACTGGACGCAAGAATGGAAAGAAATTAAAATCACAGGGAAAACTACTGTCTTGGATGACCAAAGATGTGATTTTTTTTTCGTTGTCAACTTTCATTCTTGTATCGACGGAGAAAGAACGAAGATCAAAAAATTTAAAAACCTGGAGTTTGCCGATTCGATTATTGTTTAAGAGAAAAAAATCAATATATCGCAGGTGTATAAGAAGCGTTTAAAGGAACCCATTCGTTGTGCTCTACCAAGGTAGTAAGTTTTCTTATTATGTATGTATTATAAATGTGAATGATATATAATTTAGAGTGTGTTGTGTGTGGTGTGTAATGTGTGGAGAATGGGGTACGTGTACATGTGCTTGTTGTACTTGTAGGATTTGCCACAAAAATTAAAACGTTTGCCAGAGGAATAAAGTAGCCATGCATTAAGCATAAAGTAAAATCGATATTATTGACGTCTATTCAATGAATCAAATCATTGAATCATTCCCAGAACTTCGCCCACTCACACTCCTACTCCCAAAACTAAGCTCACAAACTCCCATAACTACGCCCACTCACACTCCTACTCCCAAAACTACTCCCACTCACACTCCTATTCCCAAAACTAAGCCCACTCACACTCCTACTCCCATAACTACGCCCACTCACACTCCTACTCCCAAAACTACGCCCACTCACACTCCTACTCTCAAAACTACTCACACTCACACTCCTATTCCCAAAACTAAGCCCACTCACACTCCTACTCACATTCCTACTCACAAAACTACGCCCACTCACACTCCTACTCCCAAACCTAAGCTCACAAACTCCCAAAACTACGCCCACTCACACTCCTACTCCCAAAACTAAGCTCACAAACTCCCAAAACTACGCCCACTCACACTCCTACTCCCAAAACTAAGCTCACAAACTCCCAAAACTACGCCCACTCACACTCCTACTCCCAAAACTAAGCTCACAAACTCCCAAAACTACGCCCACTCACACTCCTACTCCCAAAACTAAGCCCACTCACACTCCTACTCCCAAAACTAAGCTCACAAACTCCCAAAACTATGCCCACTCACACTCCTACTCCCAAAACTAAGCCCACAAGCCCACAAACTCCCAAAACTACATTCTCTACCACTGCAGTATCTACTCACTTAATGACATCGGCGCTATTTACCTCGCCGTATTTCGTTAAACGCTTTCTGTCGTTACAATGACGCTGTTTTTCAACGATCATTACCAAATCTCAGGCTTAATTTTTTCCAGTCTTCCATGAAGCAGTCAATAAAATTAAACAATCCGATGTAACACTGTACACAAATATTAGTTATAAAAAATAGAACAATGATGGGTTTTATCTGTCTAAAATTATGATGGGTGGGTAGGTTGTTCCTAGCCCCCCCCCCTATTCGTCTACCCAGTTCGCCTTAAATCAGTAGAGAAATACACAATATAATAAACTTGCGTAGAAGTCATTTTTGTAAAAAAAATGGAACTGCCAACATTCAGTTCAAATGTTTATTGTTGCATTCTTTTTAATGGTATAGAATCTAGAACTCCGTAGTTTCCAAAAGATTTCACATTTTATATTTGCGTGAGTGGGGGGGGGGGGGGTGGGGGGGGGGTGGGGCTGGCTGGTTGGAACAACTTGTCCGCAAATAGAAGCACAAACAGAATTTTAAAAAAATAAAAGATTCCAAATGCATATCGTTTGTTGAATTTTATATCCTACAGATAAATTTGTAGTATTAAAAGATAACCGACAAAAACATCAGTGTATGCTGGGTAATACGTTGTGATGTCGATAAATATGAATTGTTAACGATACTTTTCAATAAATTTCATTGATTAAACTCTCACATGTATTAAGTAGAAACCACCTCACTATGTTAAATTTCCTTCAGAGTGAAATATCAAGCATCATGGGTGGATGTACATCTACCGCTAACAGAATTCATCCTCAAGATGCACAGGGCACGAAGGTAGAAACTCTTAAAAGATGGTTTGATAAACTAGTATTCTGCTCTAAAAACCCCTCTAATCGGCAGTGGCTTCGTTTGGAACAATTGGCTCGTCTTCAGTCGTCATTACCCCCACATCTAAAAGCGACCCTAAAGCCTAACCTTGCCGACAATGAGGATCAGCCTGGCCACATACAAATAGAGTTTGGTTCTAGCCCTAGAGTTTCATACACTGCGAACCTCCGTGATAGAATACCAGGTGTGGAGCAAAGACCTACTTCAAGAAACGCGCAGAGACAGAACACGACATCCATTTTTCAAGTGGACAAACATTTGTCCAAAATTATAAACAGATTTTCACACAAGAAAATGTTGAGGATGCTTAAATCTGTTGATGTTTTAAAGAGCGAGCGTAGAGACGACAAGATTTACATTAAATTCCAAGGGAAAGC